TTCAAAGTTGCTCTCATAAAATCTTCAACGAGATCGATTAACTCTAGGGAAGTTGATACCAACTATAAAAAAAATCGTTTCTATCAACATTACTGAGCGTGACGTTGTATTGATTAACATTACGTTAGAGTAAGTATATATAGTTAAAATGTTGAATTTTTTAATGAAATAGAAATAAGGTCTATACAAATTATTCATTTTCGTCTATTTTGAATAATATTAATATCATTAGTATTCAGACCAAATCATTCGACTTTAACATGTCATTATATTTATTTCTGTTGATAAAGTGCATGCCTGACACATTTAAAGCTGTATCAGTCACCCTCAGATTTATCAGACACCAGGTCCTCATCAATACATATTGAATTAAAATGAAGAAAACAGAATATTTTTACCTTTTACTAGTTTGAAAATCTCCGAAGCGAATTGAAATTTTGAATATTAAAGTCTCTCAAACATTTGGGACTATTTCGTATAAATATGACCCTTTGCATATTACTTCGTGATGCATGAACTCGAGAGGTTCTTTCCATTTGAAATATAAAGAAAGAAACGCATAATAAATTGAAAACATGATACTAGTAAATAGAATACCAAACAAATGTCTGATTTTATAAAATATATCAGAGGCTCGGCACGAAAAAAAAATGAAGGGCTCGGTACAGCCACACCCTTCTTTTATTCTTAGCCTTGCCTGATAAATTTTGAAAAATCAGGCACTAGCATGGTATTCTCTATATATTATCTATGTAAGGTCCTTTCAACCGTCACACCTGCATGACCAAAGCATTTGACCCTTTTACTTATGGACGATTTTTTCATTTTGTTGAAGACCCCTTTAGTATAAAAATTAGTACATTTGAGCCGTGTCATGACAAAACCAACATAGTGTGTTTGCGACCAGCATGGATCCAGACCAGCCTGCGCAAACCTATTCAAGCATATTGCGGCGGGCAGAAAGGTTAACAGTTGCCCCCCTACAGAACAAAATATATCATAAATCGCGATGATAGATATGTAAATAAATGTTTTTACGCTCTTGATATCGAGGACGATTTTTAGACGAGTTTAAAAGTTTATAGACCTTTGACATCTAAACCATATATAAATCAAAACATTTTACTCTAATTATTGGACAAGGGACAAGGTCATTTCGTATAGTTTTCTTTGCCATCAGTCAAAAGATATATTTACGTATATACCTGGATGTTGGACGAATTTATGGTAAAAACTAGTTCAAAATACCATATATAGACGTTAAGTGCAATATATTTTGACCTCGGAAAGACTTACATTGATAAAATTAAGAGATACTGCTTTTATTTTATATACGAACATTACGACTTAATGTCATACAAAAACCGACATTGAATAAGTATAATCGTTTAGCAAACAAATTCCATTTAAGTAAATGATATAGTATATGAAACGAGTTCGTTACGAGGATATAACACTGGCTGGGGCGACATCAAGGGATGTTTCTGCTAAAAAATGGCCCAGTCAGTGTTATACCCCCGTAACTAACGAGTTTCATATGTTTTATCGCAATTGCATAATGTTTTCTTTTTTTCTATAAAAAAATAAATCGTTAGCTCCATTACAGTTATTATATTCACACCCATTGCCAACAGAGCAAAAAGAAGTAAATTAGTTTATGTATATGGAAAATAAGTATATTTTTTTTTGAAACTGTGATAAGATAACAATAATAAAGAGTTTTTGAGAAAATAAACTGATAGCATTGTTCAGGTATAATGGGCCTTTGAGCAGTTATCACAAACCAAAAAATATACATTATACGTGTAATTGACTCGCAATTGGTGAGCTAGTATTAGCCACTAGCCGATAAGCCTTGTTTAAATTCATCTGGCATCGCATCTCTGTAGAATCATTAATCATTAATAAATGAATCATTAATAAATAAATAGATTTAGAAACCGAACAGCTGCGATGTTAAATCTCTCTTCACATATCGTTATCGTCGACTTATGTTTGGAATTGCCTGTGCTTCAGAAGTATACCAACGTATAATACAACATACACTTCAGGACATACCGAACTGCAAAAATATTTCGGATGAAATACTGGTATATGGCACGACAAAAGGACAACATGACGCCACGCTGTATAAAGTTCTACAACGCCTTGGAGACAGATTCCTAACGCTGAACAAAAGTAAATGTGAATTCTGGAAGACAACCTCACATTGATGGGTCACACCCTCACCGCTGATGGACTCATGCCACATGATGACAAAATAAAGGCAGTGTTTAATATAACAGCACCCAAAATGTGAAAGAAGTTAAATCTTTCTTAGGACTTTTAAACTACTGCTCAAAATTCCTTCCAAATTTCGCAACAATTTCGGAACCTATCAGGAATTTAACAAGAAACTAGAAATGTGTCCATAGGACACGGGTGCACCCCACTCCACTGTTTTGTCAAACTTTTGACTCTACGCCAAATATTTGGGCTACACACGACACAAGTTGAAATCTAAAAATCAAGGGCAAGACCTATACAAATACTGAACAAATCTACAAGCAAACCCCTAGATGCATAAGTAAACATGCTGATCAAGGGCAATTACACTTGAAATACTGAATAATGTAATAATAATTACATGACTCTATGTCAAATAATTTTAAGCTAATTAAAAATATTTTAATTTTATGTGCGAAACAAATAAACAAGAGCAAATAGTAATCACATGTGTCGCCTCATGATGGCCAATTTCATGTTGGGACAAATTTTGTGACAGACGGACAGACAGACGAACAGTGCACAACTAGACTTGGTACTGATCATTCCTGTAAAGTTTGGATAAAATTGCAATAGTAGTTTATGAGGAGTAGTCCGGAAAAGCTTTTGTGTATCTGGCAACACACAGAAAAAAAAACCTTTTTATCAAAGGGCCATAACTCGGCCAAAAATCATTCAACCGGAAAACCCGTGCAACATGCGCAAGGACTTCAGCTACAGATCAATCCTGTAAAGTTTCATTGAAATTGCATAAGTGGTATAAGAGAAGTAGTCCGGACAAACTTTAAAAATAAAAATTATTAAAGGGCCATAACTCAAACAAAAATCATTGAACCGGAAAATGCTGACAATATGCACAACTAGACTTGGTACGATCATTCCTGTAAAGTTTGGATGAAATTGCACCAGTAGTTTATGAGGAGTAGTCCGGACAAGCTTTTGTGTATCTGGCAACACACAGAAAAAGAAACCTTTTTATTAAAGGGCCATAACTCGGCCAAAAATCATTCAACCGGAAAACCCGTGAATTATGCGCAAGGACTTGAGCTACAGATCAATCCTGTAAAGTTTCATTGAAATTGCATTAGTGGTATAAGAGAAGTAGCCCGGACAAACTTTAAAATTAAAAATTATTTAAGGGCCATAACTTTGACAAAAATCATTGAACCGGAAAATGCTGAGAATATGCACAACTACACTTGGTACTGATCATTTCTGTAAAGTTTGGATGAAATTGCACCAGTAGTTTATGAGGAGTAGTCCGGACAAGTTTTGTGACGGACGGACGGACATACAGACAGACAGACAGACCGACGGATAGACACACGACGGAGAAGTGATCCCTATATGTCGCCACTACTCCGTAGAGGCGACACAAAAAATTACAAATTATTATTAAGTCAAGGACAATAACTCTGACAAAACAGAATAAATCCACAAGCAAAATCCCATGTGCACAGCTTCACATGCCGAGCAACATTCCTGTAAAGTTTCATGACTCTTGGTCAAAAACATTTTGAGCTATATGCAACTCAAGTTTAAAATTGAAAATGTTTACTCAGTATAGGGCAATAGCTCTGACAAATACTGAATAAATTCACATGAAAATATCCAGGTGCACAACAACACATACTGACTAACATTCATGTTAAGTTTCATGACTCTAGGTCAAACAATTTTTGAGCTACGGGCGTCACTACATGAAAACAGATGGACGGAAGGAAGAGAGGACGGACGCGGGTAAATCTAAATGCCCTCCGCCACCTTCCTATAGTGGGGGCACAAACATATTCAGTTCGACTGGAAAAAAAAGAACAACAATCTGCGTTTGAACATTAAAAGTCACTGACAACAAGTGCAGGTGCCATGGCTTTATATTACCCACAAGCTTAGACAGCTCTTGTGGTTGATGGCTCACAATATGGTTTTGTTGCTATTTTGCTACAAATATAATATGATGGATATTTAAGACCTGAAGCAAAAGCAAGCAGATCACAAAATGATGTTGAAACTTCAAAGGCGTTACAGTCAAATTGAAAGAGAATGCTAAGTTGTAACTTGGGGATAAAAGCGTTTCATACTTATTTGTATGGATTATTATTTGAAGTAAATACAGACCATAAACTGCTAGTCAGCATTTTCAAGCAACCACACAAAGCTCCAGCAAGACTAGAAAGAGTGTTCCTGTGACTACAAAGTTACAAATTCAATAAACCCGGTAGAATTTCAATCAGGAGCATTAAACCCAGCTGACATCCTCTCAAGGTCAAAACTGTCAGACTCATTATCAATGAAAACAAACTGACGAAACAAACTAACCATTATACTAAAGATATATTTTTTTCATTTCATTACTTTAGATTAAATAGCAATATACCCTATCATTCAAACTTCTAGATAAAACATTAAGATTAACCAGTGTTTAAGATTAACCAGTGTAACATTTTTTCTGAGACTGTTTCAAAACTCCATGCGTCCAAGATAAATGACCGTTAATATTAACAAATTTACTTTAATGATTATAATGCTTTCATGTCAGGGATTTTCAGTTAATGTTCTTTTTTAACTACGTTTATGCTATTATTCTGAGCAAAAGGCAGATGTTATATATTATTATGACTCCCTATTGGTCAGCTAGTATTAGTTGCTAGCTGATAAGCCCTGCTTAAATTCACCTGGCATCACATCTCTTTAGAATGATAAGTAAATATTGAGAGAGAAAAAAAAAGTTTTTTAATGATTTTATTTCGTTTTCTCAACTAAGTTTTCATGGTGGAAATATGTGCATGTATGAATATATATAATATACATATGTATACAACTTTAATGATCACTGGTAGATTTCAACATTTTACATTTTTCAATTAAAGAAATATCAAACAAAAGTGGTCGATATGAGTATTAATATGGTGCCTACCATAAAAACAAAAATACTAGAACAGCATCAATGTTAAATTAGTGCCTTATACCACAGTGGTAATATACATGAAAAAACAAACAATTACGAGAAAAACTCAACGGTTTTCAATCAAAGTATATATAACATTAAGCAATTGGATTTTTGTGTCATAGTCTCCTTCTATTACATCTAAAACACTTAGCAACTGAAACCTTTGCAATGTTCAGATCAAATTCTATATAAACACAGTGAGATCAAAAATAGTAAACATTTAAAACAGGTATGCAACAAGGCATTCCTTTCTGTCCAATCTTTTTCAGTCAATGAAATGGGTAATACCGTGAAAAACAGTTCGAATTTCGTCTTAATGGTGACAGTTGAGACGCCAGCTTTGTGACTGGAAATCTTGGTAGTACAGAGTTTGTCACAATAACGTCATCGAACGACAAATAAACGTCAAAGTTCAATTATTTTTTTTGGCAGATCTTCAGAAGTTTATGTTTGTAATGATTTGTCTGTAATGAGATAAGGATTTGAAACCGGTAACAAATGTAGTTATGGCATCAGCGTTTACGCTTGAACAATCTCATAATTGGATTCTCCAACGATGCGATATTGTTTTTGCTTATAATTTTGCAAATCTTTGACACGTGTTCTATGCACTTCGTCGTATAGATTCTGTATTGCCTTTGGAATCGGGTCAAAACCAGCTAACTCGGCTAGAGTATCGTTGTATGCCCATTGACGTGGTCCCATAAAATGTGCGTATCTGTGAGGAAGACCTTCACTCAGCCTGTTTTTGTAATCAGAATCGATGTCGTGTTCCATCTCTTCAGTGCTTGGTAATTTCTGTGTACCATCCAGTGATGACAGAACAAATTTTACTTGATTATCAAACTGGGGAAACGGACATATAATTTTGCACATGCCGATAAAAGACAACGTATGGAATTTCGAGTGAATGATATGCTTATAAAGTGGGGTGATTCGTTCCTCTACAATTTTCAGACCGCATTCTTCCGTGAGGAAAGGGAAATTGTATCTGTACCCGGTACATAAAAGTAGGATGTCCGCTTGTTGTTCCTCGCCATTTTTAAAGACGACAGAATTGGCTTTAAGTTTGGCGATGCCTGGCTTTTGGTCGACATTGTATGGTAATGTTGACTCAATCCTGGGCTTATTGTGGCTTATAGTAACCTGTAATTAAAATTGATAAATAATCACAAATTATACCAAATCAGAGAATTTCGAAACATAGACGCAAAGCTATGACTTTACGCTAAATATATGTCTTTTACAAGCAAAGTGTGTAAACATAGTCTACTTCAGGTTATCGCAAGAAAAGTCAAGTTAAAATATAAAGGCTCTACAGAACGATACAATGATCTCAATTAGCAGGTGCTTGCTATTGAACTGGCATAGGCTTGCAAGACATGGTGCAGCGATGTCTTTTATCAATTGTAAATAAAATTAACTTATTGTCACCATTTTGAATAATTTATTTTAAAGAACAAAATCGTTAAAGGCAACGTGATTGTATAAAAAATTACGCTGGATATTTAACTGCAGACGAATAATGTACCTGTTTTGCTTGCGTTGCAATATCGAGACAAATATCCTGGCCGGACGCCGCTCCTCCAAGGCAGACGACAACCTTATCTTTGAAAGGGTCTGGTACCCGGTAATCATGACTGTGAACTATGGTTCCCTTAAAGTCTTCCATCCCTTCAAGTGTAGGTACAAGAGGAACGGAATAATGTCTGAAAAATGTGAAATGTCAGGTTTTAGCGATAAATTTAAAATAAGATGTAGTTACTTCATTTGAAGATAGACAACAGCTGAAGCAAAATAGGTTCAAATCCCGCTCGATATATGTTTACGTTTTAAGATAAGTCTATAAATAATCGATCATTTCGCGCTTACGCTGGTAATTCGAAACCAGTGTTGATAATGCCTTAAAATAGATTTAAACATTAAAGGGACTCAACTGAAGACTTTTCATGTCGATAATTTTCTAAAATGTTCAATCTGTTGTAGTTCTGAACCAAAAAACTTGTATGCAAAATTTCCAGAATATTTATTCTAATTGCGAAATATGTTTCAAAATTGAAAAGCGTTGAAAATCGGACTAAGAATAGCACAAATATACAATTTTCAATTTATTTCTGAATGTATTTTTAATTATTCTTTGTATATCATTCTGTTTAAAATGTCCCATTTAACCCATGTAAGGAATGCAAATTTCATGTTATTAGGTTTTTAGACCTCAGTGGAGTTCCTTTAACTTAAAATGAAAAATAAGCCTATGGCAACTAGAATTTGACTGCAAATAGATAAATATGACCTGCTGATGAACTTAATAAATAATGAATACGTCCAGATATACATGTAAGAAAACTGTAGAGTTGGGTAAATTTAATTATCAACTTTGGGGAAAATCAATCCTGAACATATTCTGAGTGACTGACAAACAAAACAAACAGACCCTGTAAAAGTTATTTATTTAGTTTCGGTCAGAATAACAAAGAAATAAAAGTAATCAATAATCATGATAATGATCCACTGTTTGCACATGCAGTAAAGCTAAGGTGACATCATATATATTATTACAGAAAACGGAATATAACGGCGCCCGAGTTATAGTCGTTCTTTTCATGGCCGATTATTTAAATGGTATATTTTAAAGGGCGGAATGATATATTTTGTTAACTGGAATATTTAAAGACATCTTAAGAACTGAAACATCCTACCATCACCGTGCTGTCATACTGGGAACCGTCACTCGCTTCGTAAAACAATGATTTAATATGGTAATGAAAATATTGAAGGGACGTAACTCTTCCTTCTGATAGAATTATTTAAGTAGTGGACAGACTTCAAATGTATCAAATCCTTACGTTCTAAATTAATTAGAAATTTTTTTTTAATTGCGATTAAAGCGCGCTCTCAAGTGCGCTTACTGGACTAGCCAGTGTACATGTTTGGTCATAATCCCGGCCCGAACTCAAGACCCTTCTTAGATTAGACCAAAGTGCCAGTTTCCTCCCTTCTTTGTCATTCGGTATTGATAAAAAAAATCATTTACCACTGTAAGTTTCACAAATATAAAAGTGTTAATTTAATTGACTTTTCTCTTTTTTAATTAACTGATGCCACGTAAGATAAAATATTTCAATATGACGTACATTGCTATAGATCTATATAATATTATATCTTATAAACTGAACAAAATTTTATTCAATTTTCTATTTCCCGATGTGAATATAATCTCATATTTCTTATATCCTTTTAACCGTGTTTTCTCATTATATTATTAAACATGGCAATAATGCATATGCATGTAGTACACCATGTCAAAGATGGTATATCTTGCTAATGTATTTATATTAAAACACGGCAAGTTTATATTGGCATGTACCACTGACATAACTGAGTCAGCGTCATACTTTAAAAAAGGATAAAACATTGCATTATAACGCTTTGCAGTGTGATTAAAGGCTTACATTAAAGTTTAAACATATTTTTTTTCACTTCAATGTGGCAGCGAATATGACAATTATTTGTATATATACTTCCAGGCAGGCCATCAGTAGATTTGATTAACTCTTGCTATAACGATACCCTGTCTATATACATACACTTCACACATCGTTCTGTGCACCAACACTTGTTTACCCATTAGCTCATTAGAGCTTTACATGAGCTCTGTTGAGCTTTTAACCTACCCATTACAGACTATGATTGCGTCAAAGATCGAATTCTCAGATTGTGAAGGACAGCCAACGGAAGAGTAGGACACCTTCCAAGCTGTTTTATTGTCGAAGGAAAGCGGCGCCACACTGTCAACTTTCGTACTAAACTGCAATGTAATGGAGCATATGTCCATCGATTCAAATATTAAGCACGAAGATTTCGTGCATTTCTGCAGAAATCGAAAAATTTAAATCAAATAAAACCGCTGATTCTTGCCTGCAAGAGAGACCTTATATGGTTAATTTAATATAAAATTACCGCCGCCATGATCCCCGTGCAACGATGACCTGAAAATAATCTTGTTTTCATTTTCAGTTTAAAAGCATGTTTTAATTCAAAACAGTTATATCATTTCGCTATACATTTTCAGATTACCATTGTTTTACCGATTCAACTCAACTGAGATGTTTATGTTACCTACAGTACACCATACTTTCGGTTCAAAATATGTCACAAACCACTTTATAAAATATTGACATTGTCGCACTGACGCAGTTGAAATGTTAATATGTAAATTTCAAGAGCCTTCCGTTGAACTTTTAAGTGTATATTATTATCCTTTATATCAAATGCATAAATATCAAATTACAAACCACGACTTATATAGCCCTTTTTAACCCCCCCCCCCCCCCACCGTCTCAAATGCTGATAATGTATTGTAAATGCTTATCTAAAGTATCTAAAGTATAAAAAGAATGTTAAGCATTCAATAGATATACATATCAAATTTGTAAATGGCTTTAGAGCTCTTTTAGAATGACATTTTTTACGAATAATGCCAAACCAATGATTTTGTATACTTGTATTTATTTGGAATATGGAAATAGGTTAAAAAAATTCCATCATGACTCGCTGTATGGGTTTTTTTTCTTTCTTTCTGAAAAGTGCGGGGTTATGAGTCATTTAATGGAAAAATTGTATAAGTTATTGATTTAAAATGTGAATGATAAAAGTAGAGACAAGATAGAAGATTATTTTAAACATGAAGTAGCATTCGATCACTAGGAATCAAATGGAAATGATCTATTAAAGGTAAACGACAGTGTAGAATAAATTAAACTGTAAACACAACTGTAAAAACCCCAGTTCATTCAGTATATATTTTAAAACAAAATTTCCAAGCAATTACATTTAAAAAATAGATCTTCCTTAACCGGAAACCACATGAATCAATGGGTGTATTACATGCCTAATAATAGATTCTGACGTCGATGTACCCCATCCCACTCGATTTACAAAATGTAATGTACCGCACGTTAATTCAGTCTTGTCTTAAAAACATAAACCAGTTTATCTTCCGGAACCGTTACTGATAAATATATCATTTTATCTTCTCTATTACAACATGAATTCTACCTTTACCGGTTTTGAATTCTTTTTGAATTCCTTATACCTGAATAAAAATCTTGAAACTCCTGTAAAACAAATAAACGTGTATGGAAAGAAGCATATACATATGTAATAGTATAGATGGACAGGCACTAGTCAATAATAATAATACATTTTAGTAGTTTATCTCCATCTTATATAATCGAGGAAATATCACCTAAATCAGTTTCTATATGTATAACGTACAGAAAACGGACATTTCTAATTTTGATTACATAAGGGAGATATTTTACTACGTGTACATGTATATACTGTATATCATTAGTGACCAGACAAATGAGCCAAAATACCTGTAACTGAACATTTAATTAAAACCTTTACTAAACCCTTTGTTATATATAATTGTAATTATACAGATGAGAAAAGTTACACTGACACTGTTAACTGTACAAATTGTGTCAAATTCGGTAAACCAGTCTGTAATTTTGCCAAAGTCAGACCAAACATGCTGGAACCGGAAGTGAGAAGTCGTTGCTAAGGCCAACATGCACATCCGTGAAGCCTTATCAAGCTCTATGCTGTTGATAGCTCTATGATTTTATAATGATATCAAAATACATCTATATTCAAATGGCCTCTTCCAAAATTAAAAGCAATGCGATTCTATTGCACAAATTCGGCGGGTAAATGTCATAAATCATGATGAGCTTGCAATCCGAACAATTAAGAATAAAGCGTTTACATTTCCCATGCACACACCTATAAATGTCAGTTTTAGTATTGAATTTAAAAGATTTCGTCAACAGTATTCGGTCCAATTCGATTTAATTGAACGAAATAATATATGAAAGTATTTCATAAGCATTTTTACGCATATAAATGGTCATTTTGGGTAGATGAAAGCGCTTTCAAAACAAGAAAACCAGCAATTATGAAAAGCAAACATTGTAATGTTTTGAAAGCTATCAACACAGATGCAAATTAGATATGAAAGCACATTTAAACATTCCCTGGGCATATCGTTTGCTTTTTGTAATTATGTATCATTTCCAAATATCTTGTCAGTGTAACTTTTGGGAAAAGGGTAGACATATAGAATCTCTAGCGGTTTAATTGGTTCTAGATAAAAAAAACGCTTTCAAATTACCTTGATGTACTTCTCGAGATCGTAGTGATCTGAATAGTCCTTCAAGTACTTTAATACATCTTTATGTTCCGGAAATGACGGCAGGTCACTAGGGAACGGATATCCGGGAAACCCCATCACCTCTTTTGGTATGTTCGTTCTGTGAAAAAGAAAAAAATTAGTACGAAACAAATCGTTTTAATTTGTTGACAATTATAATGTAAATTTCGAATTTCAATTCTTATATGCAAAAACCAATATTTATTTAAAGGGATCGGGCGTTGTTGGAAAGTAATTATAGACAAAAAATTATACGTCCCTGTGCAATACATATTGCAGGACTCTTGTTAATTGGACGGACGAAATTACTTGCACCATACAAAATCGAGATCTAAAGACAACCTACCAAGATTTCACCTTAGAGACAAATATTTTTTAAAGAATGCAGCTAAAATAGCAATTTTCTTATTCCCACTATTACTTTACCACATTGATGATACATGTATTATTAAACACTGAAGCATCATGGAACTGTTACTGTTCTTATTATATAATATTGACTTTTTATCAGCTTGTTTATTAAATGCCTCTCCCTGTTAAAGAATTAATTTGGTTTCGTCTCTAGACTTGTCAATACCACAAGAAATTTCGATCGTTGCCTAGCAACCTGACATAAACAGGCTCTTATTCCAAGTAAATACTATTTCAGCAACGTCAATATTGAGGGGCTGCTTAAGATGTACTCTAAATCCTAGACATTGCTATCTCGTAATTGTCAGGTACTTATCAAATGGCTTGATTAGCATCTAGCCATTCTGAAATACACGGAAAATAACTAAACGAACAAAAGTCGGGCTATCTATGTAAGTAAAAAAAACACCAAAAACAATTGAAATTATGGTACCTTATTTAATAACTGATGAATGCCATTTTCATACTTAAATATGTATTTCACGTGTATGAAAATAATTAAGCAGTTTTACCAATGATAAATTAGCTCTGACAAATACGTTGGACCCCCAAGTTAATGCGGGTTTATGAGCACATATCAATCACGTATAACCCCTAACCTAGCGAAGGCAACCACAACATCATTTATACCTTTGCTAAAACAGTCAGATAATTCACCATTTTTTCTTTTTCATATTTCGAGAAGTTCACATAAAATGGAAAAATAAAGCAGACGACATTTTAGCTTTTCGAAACATTTTATCGATATCGCACAGTCACGTTACGTTATCGTATTGTCGTGATTTTCAATGCATTACACTGTAAAGAGATGGCCCTAGTTGTATTCCGTAAATTCACCAAATAAAAAAGAGACTTACCTGAGATTTTTGTACATGCTTGTTTGAACCGGCAACCCGTTTGTATCGATGCCAACTTTATCCGTATATCTCCATGTTCCGCCTACACCGGTTGAGGTTTCGAACCCGACACCCTGGAACGTGCTTGGTCTGGCCGCTAGGTGGCGCAACGCTGCCAACCCGGCTGCTCCACACCCAATTACACCAACTCGTATAACCATTTTAGATATTTATAATGTACCTGAAAAAATATATCCGGGTACATTTATATCTAAATCACAACTTCACTCTTAAACTTTTACATGCTATTATAGAAATCCGAGAAGAAACGCATTAATACAGAAGCCAAAATAAGTTGTTTAATCTTTTAACGTACTTAAATATTTAACAGATTATTAAACAGAAGCAGGCGATTCTTTAGTTAAGCAGACGACTTCTCGTACAACAAAGGAAAAATCGTATCAATCAGTTCACGAGTTCACTTTATACAATCATGCAAACACCACATGTTCTCAAGCAACGTTGATAGGTCGATCAATATAATACATATGTATTTTAACAATATTTCTCTGAAATCGCATCTTTTTATTTTATTTTATTTTGCGTCTTAACTGGGATTTACTTTTGCTTGGTGTCAAACGCGTATAAGTCGAATATTTCACTTAGAAACGGCTACAAATAAACCCATGTAGATTTTTTTGTTTGCTATTCCGTAGTTTGATGAAAGAAAGAAAGAAAGAAAGAAAGAAAGAAAGAAAGAAAGAAAGAAAGAAAGAAAGAAAGAAAGAAAGAAAGAAAGAAAGAAAAAAAAGAATCACACAAACACACACACATACTCCAAAAAATATAGCTTTATTTTTTATCGTTATAGTCAATACTTTCTCAAAACGCACGATGACCCGGTCAACATACGAGCGAAAACAAAGTCGCGCGCGTCTGTTGTTTAAAATTTCAAAATTTAAACTGAAAGAACCTACTATTAAGCTTTGCATATCTTTTTTAACGCATTCTAATAACAAATAAATAAATTTTAATTAATAAATGCGATAATTTTATTATTTCATTTTTTTTTGTTTCCATTAATTTTAAATAATAAATAATCGAAGCAATTTATTTGATGCATTTAATATTTAAAAAATTTAGTTTTATATATATTTCGTAATATATCCAGAGAATAGCTTACGTAAAACACACACTACCACCTCAGACGCTCTCCTTTGACTGCACTTCGAGCGTACAGTTTGCCTAGATCGATTACCGTTCATGTATACAGTCGAGGTTAGTGTGTCAAGCATTCATTCACGTCGTGCAACTAATGTTTTCCGTTACAGGGGCATACATCGGAAAAAAACTTCATATTTTGCATTCGGAACACCTCGGCGAAAACCATCCGGAATTTGACGGAAATGCTCGAAATAATAGGGATTGCATATTTTCGGAGTTCTTGCAATGAATATGAATAGGGTCTTTCTATAAGAAATACCCTGGTATGAATAAAGAAGCTAAAATAAAAGCCTCCCCCTATGTTAATAAATAATCTAAGATACGCTTTTTGGCAGATAAATGAAAAAGAAAAGGTTTATTATGCTTTTAAACCCCCATACTCAGATAAAAGAGGCGAAATGATATAAAAAAAAGTTTGTCATGTAATAAAAGCATTGAGAGCAAGGGCAACTTATTCATAAAAAACCCGGCGAAACACATATAGGTAAAAAACAAAGTGTACAAACCTAAAAGTTGCAAATGAAAGAAAAGTATTGCGTTAAACTTCCAGCAAGAAAAAAGCTATAGGGACCTGTACAGGAAATGAAATTGTTAATCATAGCCAGGGGAAGTTTGTACAAAGTAATGCGTTTAACCAAAGAAAAATTACTAAATGTAATATTTTGTAAATGGCCTTAGAGCTCTTTTAGAATGACATTTTTTACGAATAATGCCAACACAATGCTTTTGTATACTTGTATTTATTTTGAATATGGTAAAAAGGTTAAAAAATTCCATAATGACTCGCTGTATGGGTTTTTTTCTTTCTGGTGATTATTTGAGTCATTTAATGGAAAAATTGTGTATGTTATTGTTATTCCTGTACAGGAAATGAAATTGTTAACCATAGCCAGGGTAAATTTGTACAAAGTAATGCGTTTAAGTACCAAAGGAAAATTACTGAATGTAAGAAAAGTAGTGCACTTATATATGGCTGTGAGAAAAGTACGCTAATTCACACAATCAAGGTAACTCTAAGAATAGTATTTTGATTACGTCCTAGTGCTAGAAGTAAGAAAACATGCAAGTGATCTAACCTAGTCGAGGAAGGTGTAAAAAAGTTATACGCTGACAAGATCGATTAACTGAAAGGAAAGGAGTGCGCTTATCTACTCGATAAATGACTTGTAGAAAAGTCAGCCCTTTCCGGGCGCAAGAATACACAGACACAATCGCAACTTTTCAGCCCTTTCCGACAGTCTTCGGATATAGATAATAGCCGAGCAAGTTCCGATTTTGAAAGACCCTGACAGAACGGATACGGTAATTTGGCCAAACCTACGCTAAGAAAAACTAAACATAGAAATAGTAATTTAATGCTCTATTTATTATATATCTGGAAAAAGGTGATCCCGCGGAAGAATTAAATTGCAGGAAAATTGAAGACTTGGTTTGATTGAGTCTGTACATAAGAGATAATGAAAATGTGCAACATCCTTCACGTCCCCTAGCACCGGCTTGAGCGGTACTCAATTCTCAACACTTAAAAATATTGGACTCAATGATCGCATCAGAAAAAATATAAAAACACTGAGTACACCTTAATTAAGTAAATACAAATTTATTTTATCAGTCCATTATTTATATACTTGTTATACCAAATATACAATATGTCTAATTGCTCACATTAATTCGGATTTGGTTATAATTGTACATCATACGGCATTTTTTAAATTGATATATATAAATTAAATATGATATTGTCAAACCTATTTTCAATCATCATTTTACCGAAATGGACTTTATTTTCCTTTGGATGTCAAACGAATACGTTACACATTATCAAAGGTTACACTTTACATCTATTTAAAACTATGTGGTAGAACTACAAAGTCCGAGGTTATTATGAATATCAGCGAGTTGTTCCGATTGGTCAAAAAGTATTACGCTATAGCTAGCATGCAATGTTGCACCGCGCGTAATAAACCAATATTGAGAAAAAAAATAGATAATGATCGGGCCCTTTCAAGTCTCTGATTTTGACATCTGCTACTTGTTAATTGAAATAATAATCCCATTACTTTTAAGACAAAAATCCCCGTGCACTCTTTTTTCAATTTATAAAAAATTAATCTACGATAATAAATATGTTATGATTTTTAGTACTTTAATTAGTGTGTTCACCAGACGTTGAAAGATTCCATCAGGGTCTTTCTATTTTAATCTACAGATTTCGCAATTGCTCAGCAATGGCGGTAAATAGACGTTTTGCAAGCTGCACACTTTCTGCGGTTTAATTGGTCTGTTAATGCTGCACTATTTTCTTTATAGAGCATGCATGCATGCATTCAAGGTTGTCTTGTCGGGCTTTAAGTATCTGTGCTTGCTCTGCTTATGAATAAGTACTATTAATACTGAAATGATGTAACTTACAAGCTGAGTACAATTAATCACTACAAGATAATAGGGTTATTAATAATGCTTCGAATTTCTCACTTATGTGCATTATATTTTGCCTCAAACGTATTATTGTTACTGCCAAGTGCTTCTCCGTGTATTAAGCCCAACCACTCTAATTATCTTTAGTATAATAGGTTTTGTCAATCTTTCAATCGAATATTCCGAAATATATAGTATGACTGTGTAGATTTTGGTCTGCACTGGTCGCATGGATAGAAGATATTGCGACCAGCAGACTAAGTGTTACAAACATGAGCGGGTGTATCTGGTTTTCAGGCGTTTATGAAAGTTTTTAACATTTTAACTAGATAAAGGTTTAACTAATTTTACATTCAAACTTCCTGTATGATATCATGCAAAGAGGTCGACATTTTGCTTGAAAGTAGGCTACTTTCCTCATAAAAGGTTAATTGGTGTTGCAAGTTTATGGGATCTTATATACATGTATATGGTTTTAATATCAATGCTGATTATATACGTACATACGACGGTAACTTGTCATAGTTTACCTTGATCCTTTAACTTTTTAATCTGCACAGTAACAGCCGCCGACTTAATGACCCATACATAGGTCGCTGGCTAGTAATCATTATCATTAGTCCGTCACCGCCAGGGACTTCATATTCTTTCATATGTGGCTGCTATCTTTCTAGTTTGTGGAAAGGTGGCGGCTCTACTCACGTGCCCGCTGCACGTGGAAAACGGCAAGTGAAGACGTCATCTAACATTAAAGAGGGAAAGTTGCAACGTCGGAATGACTTTAAACCAATCCAAAAACAAGAAACATGGCAATGCCATGAAACCAGGTTTTCAATTATCACCATTGTAGATAAATATGTTGTATTTGAGATACAAATACAAGCAACAAACAATGTAACTATGTGCAATGTAAAACATGAATAATGTAGGAGGAATTGCCGCTGAAAAAGTCTTCACTATATATTCTGTATAAGGAAAAAAACAAAGGGCCATAATTAGGTCAAAAATTATTCAATCACAAAACCCCGACAATATGTGCCAGGGCGCTTGGTGACAAAGCTTCTGTGAAAGTTTGAACAAAATCTGTTGAGAAATGTAGGATGAGTTCAGCACAGAAGAATTTGTTCACTATACATGTATATTGATAATTCTGTATAAGGAAAAAAAACAAAGGGCCATAATTAGGTCAAATATTATCCAATCACAAAACCCAGACAATATGCGCCAGGGCACTTGATAACAAAGCTTCTGTGAAAGTTTGGTCAAAATCCTTCGAGAAATGTAGGAGAAGTTGCGCATGATAGAAATTGTTCACTATATATTCTGTATAAGGAAAAAAAAAGGGCCATAATTAGGTCAAATATTATCCAATCACAAAACCCTGACAATATGCGCCAGGGCACATGATGACAAAGCTTCTGTGAAAGTTTGAACAAAATCCCTTGAGAATTGTAGAGGGAGTTCAGCACAGAAGAAATTGTTCACTATATATTCTTTATAAGGAAAAAAAACAAAGGGCCGTAATTAGGTCAAATATTATCCAATCGCAAAACCTCGACAATACGCCCCAGGGCACTTCGTGACAAAGGTTCTGTGAAAGTTTGGTCAAAATCTGTGGAGAAATGTAGGAGGAGTTGTGCACAGAAGAAATTGTTCACTATATATTCTTTATAAGGAAAAAAAACAAAGGGCCGTAATTAGGTCAAATATTATCCAATCGCAAAACCCCGACAATATGCCCCAGGGCACTTGATGACAAAGGTTCTGTGAAAGTTTGGTCAAAATCCGTTGAGAAATGTAAAAGGAGTTGCGCACAGAAGAAATTGTTCAATATATATTCTATATAAGGAAAAAAAACAAAGGGCCATAATTAGGTCAAATATTATCCAATAGCAAAACCCTGACAATATGCGCCAGGGCACTTGATGACAAAGCTTCTGTGAAAGTTTGGTCAAAATCCGTTGAGAAATGTAGAAGGAGTTGCGCACAGAAGAAATTGTTTACGCCCGCCCGCCCGCCGACATACCTCAATCTAATGACCAGTTTTTTCCTTCGGAAAACCTGGTTAAAAATATGAGCCGCGTCACGACAAAACCAACATAATGGGTTTGCGACCAGCATGGATCCAGACCAGCCTGCGCATCCGCGCAGTCTGATCAGGATCCATGTTTCTCTACTTGTTATAGGGTTTGTAAGCGAACAGCATGGATCCTGATCAGACTGCGCGGATGCGCAGGTTGGTCTGGATCAATGCTGGTCGCAAACGCATTATGTTGGTTTTGTCGTGACGCGGCTCATATTACAATATTACGTCACTTTTATCATTATAGTCATTAATTGGCACATTCGGTTGAATGTTATCAAGGATTTACAATTATCACTTATAAGTCACGCAGATTGCACGCTGCAAAAAGCATTTGCTTCTCAAATTTAACAGATAATTTAAATGGACTATAAACATAAACCGCAGAAGACATTTACAGCATGCTGCGCCTGAACGCCCTAAGCTTAAAAATGTCTAGACAATTTTTAATAGGTAATTTTTTATTTCTTTGTTAAATCATGGAATAAATTATTTGAAAATAAACTTTATCATCTCTATGATAGTTTTAAGTTTTTAAATTTTCCACGCTCTGAAGGTGAAAAACTGGAGCCAAAACATGACCTTTTGCACTTTAACAGCTACAACAGGCAGGGGGTTTAAATATCAACAAGCAAATTAGTTGAATTGATACCATTTACCCAAGGAAGCTTGCTGGTATTAAGTACATCAGATTAATATGAAAGAAAATGAATCTTTGTGTCTTTACAGTAAAAAAGCGGAAAAAAGCGAACTAAAATGCCATTTATTTGGTAACTAAGGGCGCTAGCAAAATGGACAAACCAATTTTAAGATAAGGTAGGACAGATGGACGAAAAACACCGATTTCAATATCCCCTTTCTGATTTCATCGTAAGGGTTGAAAAAGCTAGAACAGGGCTGCAAAAAAAGCTAAGTCAGGTCAGAATGCACAGATGACTCAAGCAAGCCTGACTTTTATCGGTTTATCTGGTGGGGTTTATCTGGTTTTTACACCAATTCTAACACACTTTATGTCATATCTCTGCACTAACGGGCTTTCCTGGATAACTTATCAGTAATTACCAATTTCTTTCCAGTAATTACCAATTTCTTTCCAGTAATTACCAATTTCTTTCCAGTAATTACCAATTTCTTTCCAGTAATTACCAATTTCTTTCAAGTAATTACCAATTTCTTTCCAGTAATTACCGATTTCTTTCCAGTAATTACCAATTTCTTTTAAGTAATAACCAATTTCTTTCCAGTAATTACCAATTTCTTTCCAGTAATTACCAATTTCTTTCCAGTAATTACCAATTTCTTTCAAGTAATTACCAATTTCTTTTCTGTAATTACCAATTTCTTTCCAGTAATTACAAATTTCTTTCCAGTAATTACCAACTGCCTCGCAAACTGACTAGACTGCTAATCCGGAATGATTTCTCAATTACAGTCAGAGACAAATGACCATTTAAGACTCAATGGCCGAGATCAATAGTCAGAGATATTTCGCCTTGCGCGAGGATTGAACCAGCAACCGCTAGACTACAGATCCGATGCTCTTACTACTGAGCTTATCAGGCAGACTCCAAGGCAAATTACCATTGCCAATAACATTCAACTGAATCAAATGAAAGCAAATCAATATCTGATTAACATTACATTAAGTAATATTTACATTTCATTTTATTATAAAACAGGCAGGAAAACAAAACTAAATGATAAAAACAAAACAAGTGATAAAAAAAAAAAAAACAAAGAAAATATAGAAATCATTCAGCCAATGGATAAATGATTCTTACAAGTGTAAAACTGGATGGAAATTTAGTATTCATATAGGAATGCTAAATAAAATACAAGGTCATTAAAAACAAATCAAAAATAAATATATAAACAGTATATAGACCAAAGCAATAGGTATAACATAAGTTTTATTAACAATCTTTAATGATACTAAACAAAATAAATAGCAATAAATAACACTGATTCTGTACGACTAACATTTCTTTAAGCCGGCTGAATTTGTGTATTAAGCCGGCTGAATTTGAGTTACAGATTTGCCCACATCAATTTAGAGCTATAAGTGAAGGGTCCTTGCCAACATTTACTACGGAAGGTGGTAGCTATAACATAGTGTAAAGGGAGGAAACTCCAGATTAAGGCTGGTCATGCTCTGTACTGGTGATTTTTTAAAGTTTATAAGGCAAGAAGGAATTCCAGCAATGACAACAGCACACTCAACTACTAGTATCCTTACAGATTTAAGTTGCACTTTTCCCATTTCCAAAAATTTGATACCAGTATATACCCCCCCCCCCCCCCCCCAAAAAAAAAAACAACCCAGAAATTTTCAGAGTAAACAGAAATTCAGTCGAAATCACAGGAAGAGTTATGGCTCTTAGTCAAATATCTTGTAATGTTTCCCCATTATAATTATCAATTATTAAAGTTTAAGCCTTCAGTGATTAGCAAGAAATGAGTGCCTCACAAACCCTTAGTCAAGTGCAAGGTTCCTAGTAGGGTAGCCTCTTTATTCTTTTATCAAATTTTCAGGATAAAGAGTGATGCTGCCCTAAATAATATGAAATTGAAGAGCAAGAAAAAATAAAATAATATAAAACAAATGTTACTGAACTTTTAACAAAACTGTGATAAAAAGAAAGCGATATTTTTGGCAACAATAGAATAGCAGTGTAGCCATCATTACTGCAATTTCATGAAAATGCTATGATTTTTTATTAAACATTTTTGCATCAGTTCATAAAAAATAATGACCAACAAACTTTAATGTATTTTATTTCAACTAATCATAATTTAGATAAATTTGTGACGGTAAAACTACCCTCTTGGTAGAAAATTGGTTTAAAATCACTATAGTATTTATTGACTACTGAAAAAAAATATGAACAGATTTAAAATCATTTCTCTCAGTGTAATGTTTCTTACCAACAAATAATCTTAATTATTGTAGATATTAAAATGAATATTGACAATGATGACTTTGATGATAACATTGGTGATGATGACAATTATGATGATGTTATCGATGATGATGATAATGATGTCATCCATTATGATGATGACAAATCTTATATAGAGATAGTATAGCCTTGTGCCCCTGAATATATAAAATTTCCCATGACAAAGCAGCATATATCTTAGAATAAACACAACAACGGTCATGAATTCAGAGATACATTTTTCATTTAAATCCACAGACTTAATATTATGAAAATATTCACGATGAAATGCTAAGTTAAGAATTTCTGAGAGCATGGGCTATAATTGTAGGGTAGACTTAAAAGTTACATAATATGATATATCTTTTTATGGCTCAAAGTTAGGAGAATTTTTTGTATTTGTTCATTTTGATTAAATAAATATGGCTTTTACATGTTTTCTTTTTATAGAATAAAATATTGTGGCAGCATGGCCGAATGTTTTGGCATGTCCTATGACTAGTAATCAAACGATTGCTGGCCACATGGGTTGAACTCTGCCAGGGTCAAGCAGTTGTTTTATTTTAACAAAAAGCTTATCACTCATAGCTTAGTACTGATTGGTACCAGAATAGGGTTCGAAAGAATTTCTATTAACTCATAGCTACCAACACGATCAAACTAAAATAAATATTGTGTAAATTATAAAGGTTAAATATTGGTAACAAAAATTGGATAAAGAACTCTTCGGTAAAAAAAGTCCTAAACAAAAGTTTTCAGACAGAGTGCTTGATCAACTTTCATCAGAGTTTGATAGTATTTCTGAATATGTGTGTGAAGTTTTAAGCAAAAATCATCAGCGATAATAGAGATATGAATTTGAGTGCAAAACCATTTTAAATGTAATGCAAACACTAAAGCCAACGCCAAGCTGAGTAGGAAAGCTTCCACTATTTTTTGACGTAGTAAAACTAAAAACATAAAATTTTGCTAATTATATCAAGTATGTATGACCAAATTCTTGCTCATAAATCATGGCTCTTAGAATTCTACTCTTTTTTTTCTTTAATTGAGTATTTTCATTATTTATTCTGTAAGTCCCTATTGAAAACTTCTAATTGAAAAATTTCATACAAAATAGGATAATTAAATCTAAAAGCACTCAAAAAGTTGTTTCACACCTATGAATAATACATGTTGTACAGTTGGGAAATCTATATGGAGACATGGCCTTCACCACAGGTTTGTCTGTACAAATGTACATATATCAGGACTTTGACCAGATTTCAAAATTGAAACAATACACTTCAACAAAATAAATAACAATCACTAAGAGCAAATGAAACTTGGAATGTTTGATGAACTTGTGTATGAATATAGCACTTTGGAACTACTTTTTCATGTTAATTTGGCGTAAACAGGCGGATTAAATTTTTTCCGCAAAAATTTGGCAATGTACAATGGGATACAACTGACAGATGTTATCACTATGACCTTCCAGAAAAAGTTCCATGTTTTGAGAAACATCGGATCTGAAATGGAAATAATATAAAAACAATTTTAATGTTTAAATATAAATATTTACTGTTTTGAGATTCTAATCATGGTGTTTTAATTTCCTTGCCAAAATAAGTAACAAGACCCCATCAAATTATGCAAAACTAATCTATTGCCTAACTATTTTTATAATTTGAATGTCAATTAACGAGCCAAACATTCAGAAAACAAAAAAAAACAACCAAAAACAAACAACAAATATTTTCTGCAACTTAAAATGTTATATTTATTTTACATTTAGGAACTTTTCAAAACAAGCTATGGCATATTTAAATGGCACAACAGCTGAATGAAACATTCATTGGTTTGCTGTTACAGAGTACATGTAAACAGTTTATGTTTTTGGTACAATAAATATATTTGAGAACATTACCCTATTTTTCAGCATCAAAAAATTAAAATACATTTACTGAAACTTTGCAACCAACAGTTAAGTCAGGTAGGACAGAAAAAATGTGCAAGTTGACCTGAATCTATTCTACTGTTAATGAAAGGGTAATCATTTATTGCCACTTGTGCTACAAAACTTGGTATGATTTATACAAAAATGTTGTGAAATAAACTAATATTGCCCAAACAGCATACAGTAACATCACAGAGGAACATAATACCTAGTTACGTAATAACATAGATATTATAAAAACAAAATAATAGTAGTCACTCTCTTGCTAGGTTCCCAGCAATGTTTGTTTGTTTGTTTGTTTGTTTGTTTCATTTTACGCCTTTTTCAACAGTATTTCAGTCATATAGGCGGGTAGTTTCCTAACCATCGTTCCTGGAGAGTTACACCAGTACTAGACTACCTTCCTCCGCGCTAAACTACCAAAGCATCTCCCGGGGATCGAACCCACGCCAGAGAGGTAACTGGATTAGAAGTCATCGACTCTAACCCCTCGACCACGGAGGCGATGAAATCTGGTTGAGATTAACCTATGTATATTTGAAACAGTCTAAAGAGATTCACCAAGAGAGATAAAATCCCCACACTCAGATTAACTATAGCATGGTCATTAAATAAAACTGGTAGATAAAAAAAAAAAAAAAAAAATCTGACTAAAAATGTGTCCATAGGACATGAATGCCCCAATTTTCCACTATCAATCTACAAACAGACAGCATGATGGACAGACAATGGCAAACCTATTTGCTGCCCAACTCCAAAGGGGGTATTAAAAAGCTTGTATATACAATATACATGTCAAGGGTTGACCTCAAAACTGCAGTTTCTTATATGAAATAAAGAAGGACTTACAACAGTTTTGCAATCAACCCTCAATGTGCCACATTCCGACATTATTCTAAAGAGAATGATACCTCTTTCTATACTTACCAAAGTAACGTCTAAGAACCACAAGAGATGCGATATATATGGCCAGACTGAACACCTCCGCAAGGACCATCGCCCAGTGCCACGTACGTATAGTTAATGCAACCATTAACAACTCTGTTAATATGAGTGACGTAAAGGTGATCGCAACTACGTGGATAAATTCATCTTCGAATAACAAAAACGCACCATACATTATTATTCCACCTGAAAAAAAATCTTATTATTATATCATATATTATATCATTTTATTATATATAAATCATAAAGGCGTCAAACGTTCTGCACATCCCTAAGATTTTAAGATAGGCTTTACAACCGTAAGTAATTCTAACAGCTGGTGTTCAATAGTACTTAATCTTAGATCTAAAATAAAGACATTTTCTGCTCATTTTACACATTCTTAATAGTTTTAAAAACTTGATACAGGTAATTAATTCAGTTATATTGATGTTTTTTTTGTGGTAACATGATATGCAACTGGATTTTATCATGTAAATATCATTTATCTTTGATTATTTCACTCTGCATATGCAGCTTAAATAAGTTGAAAATCTGAGAATCAAAAATTTTGATAATCAGTAACTCAAATGTATCAAAAATTGGCTAAAATATTGTATATTCTAAAAACTTATAAAGTAAATTTTAGAAGGTAAAATCTTCTTTACAATGTGAATGAGAATTACAAGGCTTTATTCTTTTATTTGACACTAGAGTAAGTTTTCATCCACTATGTTAATCTATATCAAAAAATTCCATCAAATATAGCAACAAACCTTGATAAATACTAATAAGCACCCACATGAAAAAAGACTTGAACGATAATGACCTCCCCTGAAATTGAAAATAAGCAATTATCTCCCTTCATTACACTATAGATATTTATGTACATTCTATAATGACAAGAGCTGTCAGTACAACAGCATGCTTTACTATTCTCAGTGCTCCAGAGCCTCGAAAATGTAGTAAAATACATTAAGTTCAAAAAGGACCATAATTCTGTCAAAATCCATGTTAGATTTATGGGCCTAGTATAGTGACTTCTTATTTTGCTCTCAAATTCAACTCGTTCCCTTCAGTAGATATCAACTTGCATGCAAAAATTTAACCAAAATGTGACACAGACGCCTGGGTGTGTACAGAAGCACTCCCTATTCTTTAAATTGTCCAGTTAAAAACTGTACATGCAAATGTACATTGAAAGAGAAGAAAACATGCATAATCAGATAAAATCACACAAGCATACCTCACTACACTCTTTTTATATGCTTGAATCAGGGCACAGTATAAAAATAGCTGACTGCAATGACAGCCACAGCACCTTCATTATCATAATAAAACTGTCAAATGGCATGGCAATAGCATGTTACAAACATTGCCATTTTACACACTCATGTAGAACAACTTGTGTTTTACATGACATCATAAACGACATCATACCCACTAGGCTTTTATGAATGAATTGCATGCTTAGGATGACATCATTTCATCATTATGACTAAGTTTATTCATATGCTTCTGTAACAAGAGGGCCATGATGGCCCTGAGGTCGCTCACCTGTATAAAGGCACCCGGAGCGGGGCCAGTTTAAACCCCAGGATTTTTATTTGAACAAACTTAGAAGACACCAATTAGAAGATGTTTCACAATGTTAAGTTTTTACTACACACATATAATGAAAAACAATGATCTACTCCCCCCCCCCCCTGTAAGGGCCAATTTTAATCCAGGGGCTTTTATTTGAACAAACTTTGTAGACACTTACTAGAAGATGTTTCATGCTTAATATCTAAACTCCAGCTATTTGGGTTTTTTTCAAAAAAGATTGGCGGGGCCAATTTTGACCCCAGGGCTTTTATTTGAACAAACTTGGTAGACACCCATTAGAACATGTTTCATGCTAAATATCTTAGCTCTAGCTCTTTGAGTTCTTTAAAAGAAGATTTTTTAAGTGTTTACTATATGCATATAGGGAAAATCAATGACCCCCTGAGGCGGGGCCAATTTTGACCCCAGGGCTTTTATTTGAACAAACTTGGTAGTCACTCACTAGAAGATGTTTCATGCTTAATATCTAAACTCTATCTATCTGGGTTTTTTCAAAGAAGATTTTTAAGTTTTTGTTATACACTGTCATATAAGGAAAATTAATGACCCCCCGGGGCAGGGCCAATTTTGACCCCAGGGCTTTTATTTGAACAAACTTTGTAGACACTCACTAGAAGATGTTTCATGCTTAATATCTAAACTCCAGCTATTTGGGTTTTTTCAAAAAAGATTTTTAAGATTTTGTATACACATATAAGGAAATTCAATGACACCCTGAGGCGGGGCCAATTTTGACCACAGGGCTTTTATTTGAACAAACTTGGTAGACACCCATTAGAACATGTTTCATGCTAAATATCTTAGCTCTAGCTCTTTGAGTTCTTTAAAAGAAATTTTTTAAGTTTTTTACTATATGCATATAGGGAAAATCAATGACCCCCTGGGGTCGGGCCAATTTTGACCCTAGGGCTTTTATTTGAACAAACTTGGTAGACACTTTTTAGAAGATGTTTCATGCTAAATATCTTAGCTCTAGCTCTTTGGGTTCTTTAAAAGAAGATTTTTAAAGTTTTTACTATTTGCATATAGGGAAAATAAAAGACCCCCTGGGGCGGGGCCAATTTTGACCCCAGGGCTTTTATTTAAACAAACTTGGTAGAGTCACTTACTAGAAGATGTTTCATGCTTAATATCTAAACTCCAGCTATCTGGGTTTTTTCAAAGAAGGTTTTTTTTACACTGTCATAAAAAATTAATGGCGGGGCCAATTTTGACCCCAGGGCTTTTATTTGAACAAACTTTGTAGACACCCATTAGAACATGTTTCATGCTAAATATCTTAGCTCCAGCTCTTTGGGTTCTTTAAAAGAAGATTTTTTAAGTTTTTACTATATGCATATAGGGAAAATCAATGACCCCCTGAGGCGGGGCCAATTTTGACCCCAGGGCTTTTATTTGAACAAACTTGGTAGTCACTCACTAGAAGATGTTTCATGCTTAATATCTAAACTCTATCTATCTGGGTTTTTTCAAAGAAGATTTTTAAGTTTTTGTTATACACTGTCATATAAGGAAAATTAATGACCCCCCGGGGCAGGGCCAATTTTGACCCCAGGGCTTTTATTTGAACAAACTTTGTAGACACTCACTAGAAGATGTTTCATGCTTAATATCTAAACTCCAGCTATTTGGGTTTTTTCAAAAAAGATTTTTTAAGTTTTTGCTATACACATATAAGGAAATTCAATGACACCCTGGGACGGGGCCAATTTTGACCACAGGGCTTTTATTTGAACAAACTTGGTAGACACCCATTAGAGCATGTTTCATGCTAAATATCTTAGCTCTAGCTCTTTGAGTTCTTTAAAAGAAGCTTTTTTAAGTTTTTTACTATATGCATATAGGGAAAATCAATGACCCCCTGGGGTCGGGCCAATTTTGACCACAGGGCTTTTATTTGAACAAACTTGGTAGACACTTTTTAGAAGATGTTTCATGCTAAATATCTTAGCTCTAGCTCTTTGGGTTCTTTAAAAGAAGATTTTTAAAGTTTTTACTATATGCATATAGGGAAAATCAAAGACCCCCTGGGACGGGGCCAATTTTGACCCCAGGGCTTTTATTTGAACAAACTTGGTAGTCACTCACTAGAAGATGTTTCATGCTTAATATCTAAACTCTAGCTATCTGGGTTTTTTCAAAGAAGATTTTTAAGTTTTTGTTATACACTGTCATATATGGAAAATTAATGACCCCCGGGGCGGGGCCAATTTTGACCCCAGGGCTTTTATTTGAACAAACTTTGTAGACACTCACTAGAAGATGTTTCATGCTTAATATCTAAACTCCAGCTATTTGGGCTTTTTCAATGAAGATTTTTAAGATTTTGTATACACATATAAGGAAATTCAATGACCCCCTGAGGCGGGGCCAATTTTGACCACAGGGCTTTTATTCAAACAAACTTGGTAGACACCCATTAGAACATGTTTCATGCTAAATATCTTAGCTCTAGCTCTTTGAGTTCTTTAAAAGAAGATTTTTTAAGTTTTTTACTATATGCATATAGGGAAAATCAATGACCCCCTGGGGCCGGGCCAATTTTGACCCTAGGGCTTTTATTTGAACAAACTTGGTAGACACTCATTAGAAGATGTTTCATGCTAAATATCTTAGCTCTAGCTCTTTGGGTTCTTTAAAAGAAGATTTTTTAAGTTTTTACTATTTGCATATAGGGAAAATAAAAGACCCCCTGGGGCGGGGCCAATTTTGACCCCAGGGCTTTTATTTAAACAAACTTGGTAGACACCCATTAGAAGATGTTTCATGCCAAATATCTAAGCTCTAGCTCTTAGGGTTTTCTAAAAGAAGATTTTTTAAGTTTTTCCTATTGGTTGCCATGGCAACCAGAGTTTTTAATGGAATTTAAATTTTTGAACAACTTTGAAAGGGGTCCACCTAAGGATCATTTCTGTAAAGTTTAGTTGCAATTGGCCATGTGGTTTAGGAGGAGATGTTGTTTGAAAAGCTTGACGCCATTTTTTGAAGGACGCAAGGACGCACAGACACAGCACGACGGACGCAGAGTGATGACAAAAGCTCACCCTTGAGCACTTTGTGCTCAGGTGAGCTAATAAAAAAGGTGCTCAATTCAAATTTTAGTTTTATTTTTTCACCCCCGTAATTTCTTACCTTTGTCAATTCTTTATATAATTCTGGATACATTAAAGCTGTCTCTGGTGTGACATCTTTATCAAGTACCAAAGAGAACACAGGATACATTGTATATACAGTAGAATACCTGCAATTATAATGTGTAATATATGTGTGTCGTAAATACAGTGCAACCTCTATACAGTGGCATCCTGTAGAACCTGTGTACAGTGGAACTCAATAGAACCTGTGTACAGTGGCACTCAATAGAACCTGTGTACAGTGCCACTCAATAGAACCTGTGTACAGTGCCACCCAATAGAACCTGTGTACAGTGACACTCAATAAAACCTGTGTACGGTGGCACTCAAAAGAACCTGTGAACGGTGACACTCAATAGAACATGTGTACAGTGGCACTCAATAGAACCTGTGTACAGTGGCACTCAATATAACCTGTGTACAGTGGCACTCAATAGAACCTGTGTATGGTGACACTCAATAGAACCTGTGTACAGTGGCACTCAATAGAACCTGTGTATGGTGACACTCAATAGAACCTGTGTACAGTGACACTCCATAGAAATCTGTTTACAGTGGCACTCAACAGAACCAGTGTCCAGTGACACTTAATAGAACCTGTGTACAGTGGCACTTCTATTAAAAACAACAGAATCAATTCTTCCTCGGTGAACACTTTACAATAAATGTATTGGCTGAGTTGTTATCACGTCAGACTAGTAATCTAAGGGTCGCTAGCAATGTGGGTTTGAACCCTTTCCGGTACTAGCCGTTGTTTCATTCAGCCAGAAACTTTACACTCATTGCTCAGTACTGGTTGGTTCCAAGAACAGATTCAATAGTGTGTCTTATAAGCTTATAGCTTCCTACACAATGAAACTAAAATCAATTCTGTATAAACTAAAACAAAGTTAATCTGTATGTAATATGGATACTAAGTTGATATAAATGTACATAATACATACCCAACCATTAGGAAGCCCGGGAATAATGCTATGGATGCAAAATAGAACACAGAACAAAACACAGCCTGCATAGTTGAGATTATTAGACCTCTGTGGATCACAAATTGCCCTAGAGCTGCAGATCTCTTATAGCTGTAATAATCAAGTTATAAAACATGTAATAGTTCAACAAGTGCAAAAAATTGTTCAATGATATAATGCCATTTTATCTTTTCTTGACAATAAATATAGTCACAAAATTTCAAATTTGGTGAAAAAAAAATCTGTTTTGCTTATTTGTTTTTTCTTGTTGTGGTTTTGTTTTTTTTTTGGGGGGGATGGGGGTGGGTGGGTGGGGGGGGGGGGAAATGGTGTGTTGAATTTATTTTATGTCTCATCAAATCACTGTAAATGTCATATGGTAACTTTCCAACTTTACTGGTGGAGGAAGGCTTCAGGTACCCATCTTTGCATAATTTCAGGCACAAATTGACACCTGAGCAGAACCACCAATGTTCCGTAAGTTAGCTGGATAGCTTCCTTACATGAATGAAACCCAATGTCTCTAGTGGGATATGAACCAACAGAAATGAGGGGCAAGTGGTTTGAAGTTAACAACCATGACCATTTGGCCATGGACTCCCCTTTTAAGCAAATCTTACTAAAATATAACACAAACTACAAAACAGCCATATTTGCTATAATGAATAATAACTAAATCTAATCTGATATGGCAGACATTTGTAAATTAAACAGAATACAGATAAAGAAATAAGACACATACTGGGCCTGTCTTAAAACATTTAAGAAAGTTGTTGAATAAAATTTGACTACTACCTTATTGTAAAGAAACTCTTATATTATTAATAATAAAGATTTTTTGACAGGTTATATGGCCCTATATAAATGGTTGTTTGGAAATATATTGCAAACAACTGGTTAATGCCATATAATGTGTCAGAAATATTTATATTGAATTAATAATACAGCAAGCATCTCTTTTTAGAGAAAAAAGTGAGATTTTATATAAACATCACCAATATACAATGAAAAGCAACATTACAAATGTGCAGTATTATGAATGTAACAAAACTGCAAACTTCTGAGAACATATTATACTAGGTACCTGTCTCTGCCATGAACCATAAGAAGTCTACCAATATAGCTAAACTGGTTGATGGAAAAGTCTGCTGCCATTGACGCCTGCTTCCCTTCCTGTGAGAAATAAAAGTTCAGTGAGTTCAAAACACTTTAATTTATAAATAAACAAGCATTAAAATTTTAAGATGCACTAAATGTTTGACAGAAAAACAAACAACTGATTCTTCACTTTGCACAATGAAAATCAATTTGACTAGTGTCTAAAAGAAAGTATAGCATATATTAATTAGAATATTGGCAACACTAATGACTGCTGCTCCATCTAGTCTCAATCATAGCAAGAAAAAACATTGCCAATCCATTACATGTAGCAAATTCAATTTTAACCCAGTGAACTTGAATGCCAGCAAACACCTACAAAGGTTACTTACCCATGATAGTTACTATAAGAAAAAATTTAAAATATTGATACATGAAGGTTCTATAAGGAAATAAAGTGTTACACTGATCCCAAAGCACGAGTGAGAAGGATAGCCGTACTATTCTTCAAATAGTGTAGCTAAAAATCTACTATTTCCTGATTGACCTTGACCATCAGCCAAATGACCTCAAACACATTCCAAGAAACGTGGTTTAGATGATTGTACCGAAACCCAAAATATCTAAAAATATCTTGAAGATATTGATGAATTAATAAAGGCACTATAAGGAAACAAGATGAAAGTGTATTAGAAGGAATTGGCCCCTGTGACCTCTTTGAAAATATTTTAAACAAGAAACATAAGAATTTATCTACATACCTTCCCCACAATACCAATGCCTGCATCAGCAGCTTGTATCATACTAACATCATTTCCTCCATCACCTGTAATATATAGAACCAGCATACAGTCCACTTCCCATATGGGTACCATATACTTCCCATGGTTCCTCGGTATAACCATGTCTTGTTATAAACCAAGGTAGAACAAATTGGGGAATCTGGAACTGTTGGTCTTCATTTACTTCTAAATTCGATTTCACATACATCCTTCTTTTTGGAGTACATTAAGAGAGGTAACTCTTTGAATTTTATTAGTAAATTATTACCCTTATAAGTTTGTGTTTTAATTAAAAATATTCATATATCATACATGCCATATTTCCAGCCACCCAGATAGGGGGATTTGGCTTTAAAAAGCAGGGGATTTGGACCAAAAGTAGGGGGATTTTTAAGCAAGCACAAACCAGTCGTAATCTTAAAACGATGCAAACATATAATTAAATTTCCCCCATTTTATTATGAAAATGAACATTTCTACAAGATCATTTGATATTTTCAAGTTTTAACATACATGACTGTGAAGGAATAATATGTAAACAATTGCAAATAAACATAGGTACTTTAAATATTTGATGTAAATAAAATAAGAATCCCTGTAAAACAAATATAATTAATTGCATGTATATCATATAAAATACATTTTTATATCAGATATATTGAATCATTTTAGTACAAATAAACTTGAATTTGATGCATTCAAAATCATTAAAATAAATATACTTTAACAGCCAAAGTTTTTTCTCTTTAAATGAAAGGTAAAGAATTTTCTCTTTAAATGAAAGGTATCAACATTTTCACAGAGAATTTTTGTAGCTAAAAAATGCTGCCTTCAAAATTTTCCGTTGACACTTCATAAACAGTAAAAAAAAAATCTGACACAAATCTTAATCCAGTTTACTCATGTGATTATGTACTTCACACCTCAATTTGTTAACACACATCGATTGCCTCATGCTTTATACCATATATGGCAGTAGGGAGTCTAGACGCTACGTCACTTGATACCTGTATGTACATGTAAACTGTGTAATTGATGCAGGGTTGTGTAAAGGTTTTTTTGAGTATACTGACTACTGGATAATAATTGGACCTAATTATTTTGGCTCTTTGGGTGTTAAAACAGGTATTATTTATTATTTATCTGATTGAAACGGATTTTTACCTCTTTCAATCCCTCCTCAGTGTTTGTTGGTTACCGTGAGACAAAGCTAGTTTATATTATTTTTGCAACAACATAGATCACAGTTACATAAAAAATAATAGTTTCAAACATTGCTAATCTGTGATTCTTTGAGTTTCTATTGCCTGATCATGATTTTTTCATCTGCACTTACAGTGTATCAACTTCAAAGACCCTATGCCGACAACAAACTCAAGGCGGGGTTACATATCCCAACAAAAATTGATACGTCACACATTCAGTATCGGACGCTGTCATTGGTTAAGCACCTGCAATACTAACACTGATTGACAGGTTTATCACAGGAGAATTTGTCATTCCTTGACAGCTGAAGTGTGTCGGAGTAACTAACAATACATTTATCCGTTAGACCCCTGCTGTTTAATGGGGAAATATTACTTCAGGCATATATAGTTGTAAAAGTTGTTTAAGTCTATTGTTTAATAAGGTTTATTGGTAAAAATGATGTTTTAATTTTTTTGTTGGTTGAATTTTTGAAAATCGGGGGATTTCGATCCCACGGTGGGAGATCGGGAGACATGGTCGAAAATCGGGGGTTTTTGTCCCCCGGCGGGGGATATGGCATGTATGATATATACACACACACCATAGTGTCTCTATGTACAGTAATTTGCAATGAACATGATAACAAAGGTGTATGATTACCTAAAGTTTAACAAAGGTCTTATAATCATTCAAATATAAATTAAATCATTACAGTTACTATAGCGTAAACTTTGCTGTTTTGTGTTTAACGAATGAAACATTTGAGAGGAAGCATTACCTATTGCACATGTACGTTTCCCTGAGTGTACCTTGAGAAGTTTGACTATATCCGCCTTCTGTGTTGGAGAGCATCTGCATACAACTACACACGGACACTGACATGCTAGCTCCACAAACTCGTGCTCGTAGTACTCCAAACAAACCTAAATATATACATACAGGAAAATATACTAAAACATCCTGTCAAATATTATAAACATTTCTTGAGTAAGTTTATATGGAAATAACATTCCAAATGTTATTTCAGACAGGAGAAAGTACATATACCATAGTTTGTTTGTTTGTTTCATTTTACACCTTTTCCCAACAGTATTTCAGTCATGTAGGTGGGTAGTTTCCTAACCAATGTTCCTAAGAGTTACACCAGTACTAGACTATCTTCATCCGCACTAAACTACCAAATCATCTCCCGGGGATCGAACCCACGCCTGAGAGGTAACTGGATTATAAGTCATCATCTCTAACCCCTCGACCACGGAGGCGGTTACATATACCATAGAATATATATATATAACTTCTGTCAAATAACCTTTGAACAACAACTCCTTGAGTTCATTAACCTGTATGCTAATAGTGAGTAATAGCTTTCAAATGACCATTACAATGTACATGTGAAAGTCTTGTTAATAACTGTAGAGTGTTGTTGTTTTTTTCCCATCAAAACAGATTAATTCCATTTTTTTTAAAAGTTTGTTGTTATTATCATAATAAGTACATACAATTATCACTTGTCTATATTTTTACGCATCAGATATACATATTTTACTAGATACCCTTCTAATTTAATCATTTTTGTTTGTGTTTTAAGTGAAATGGTGACGTTCAAGCTTTTACGGTTCAGAAAAATCTCAGGTGCCCCTTTCATGCATTATATGAGATTTAAGCAGGCACCTAAATAGAACCTTGACCCTTCTGCAACAATTGTAAAATTTCCTCACATGAAAGAATGCAAATTCTCAAAAGAGATTTAAACCTGCAACAGTGAGGGGCAAGTTACCTTGTCTACGGATATTGTGTATTAGTTGGTAATGTACAACAGCATTGTGTCCTCTTTTCTAAGTTTACTACAAGTTATGTACATCAAACAATAACAAAAACAATAATGACTACACAAATGTTAATGTATAAAGAAAATGGCATTTACTTGCAAAGAAGCGCGGCAAAGTATAATGTAAATCTTAGAAAACGGAGGCCCCTTCTGTTCAATTTATTATTTCCATATATCAAAAGCCGAGATTTCACTGACCTGTAAGCTATCTCCCATGATAACTAAAGCATTATCTTGTTTTCTTCGCAGGTTATTCAGCTCTAAATGTGCCTCTGTCCGCCCCGTGACTTTCTTAAATGTATATATGTCCTGGTTTCTGGACACAAGCTTAGAACTCTTAGCTATACATGTTGCTGTCTCCAGTTTATCTCCAGTCAACATCCAGATCTAAACAATTAGGAAACAAAATATCATTTTTTTGGCAATGAGTAATGGCTTAAAAAAAATAGAAATAAAATGCCATTTTTCGTTTTTTTGTAGGTGGTGGGAAAATGTGTATTTTGGTTAAGTGTGTGTTTGATTGGTTTACGGTACACCAACACAATTTAAGTCATATGGCGCCGTTAAAGGAAAGATTATTTTGGCTAACCTTGGGTGTTACTAACTTAAAGCACCACCAAAGATCAAAACCACCTAATCAGGTGGAGCTAAGAAATGTATAGACTCAAGTAATTCAAACCCATGTAGTTCTGTTTTACAATCCGGCATGGATAAACGGTGGCTGCAATTCTCATGCCTACACCTTTAAAGGCAACCCCTCAAGCTAAAGGCTTGTGGGTTTAGTCTAACTAATTAGATTTTCAAGATTTCCAAATGAAGGAAGTCTTTTTATGCACCTTAGTCCATTATTTCAGGTAATAAAAGCAAACAAAACACATTTTGTAACATCTCAAACGAAATATCAAATTTTTTACCTTGATTCCAGCATTGCGTAACATTTCCAGGGTAGGTCTAACATTTTCCTGTAATCTGTCCTCTACACCCGTCATACACAGTAACTCCATATCTCTCTCTAAACTCTCAATGACAGCTTGAACCTTGACATTCCTGTCCTGTACACTCATCTTCGCTTGATGGTGACGATTCTGATGTAAAATTATATCATAATTTAACACATATGATGAGGTGTCAATGTTACTTTTGTGTCAATGTTACTTTTGTGTCAATGTTACTTTTGTGTCAATGTTACATTTGTGTCAATGTTACATTTGTGTCAATGTTACATTTCAATGAAGCTTACAAAAAAAAGGTAGATGCTAATAAAAATCCTGTTATTTAAGTATGAAAGCTTTTGCATATACAAATGTACAATGCAAATACCAAAATTTTATGTCAAAGTTTAAAGTAGTCTATATAGAGACCCATAGATGAGGCTAAAAAACAATTTGCCATATCTATAAAGTCATCACCGTCATTTAACTAAAATACTTTTACAAAGCCGATTCTTTGCCTCATTTCAGCCATCTGAACATTAATCTACATACATGTGAACCATCCCTCTATCTTATTTTGTGATTTGGAAATAAATAAATTCATGTTTTTCAAATATAAATAACATACAATAATACCTGAAATTCTTGGTATTGTTCTTCTGTAAGAACCTTTCTTGCAACAACAAGAGTTCTCAAACCTTCTCTAGCAAGATTTCCACACTGTAAAGAAAACATTCTGAATATATTGTACATTCGGAACGGTGTATTTCAATCTGATATATTTTAATTGATTTATTTCAATGTGATGGAAAAGAAACATTGATTCAAACTCTGGTAGCAATAATTATAATTCCTCTAAGCTTAATGTATAAGGCCAACCAAACAGGCTTATCAAAGTACTGTAAAATTATAAATTTTTGTAAGGTATAAAATTTACATAATTTAAAAAAAATGTAAATTTTCTGAGAAAACAATAACTAAGTATCATATAAATCTAATAGAACTAGAAGTATAAGTTTGCTTATTTTATATTGTCAATTACTCCTAATTGTAGATTTCATGAAATTTTGGTCAGGTGAAAATATACACGACATAACAGTATTCTGACAGTAAGAAGTTTGTTTTTAGCAATGTAACATAATACATCCCTAATATGTATAATGGACTATTCCATATAAAAGGCAGAACAAGTCTATTATATAAAATTACCAAGGTAGAACAATTTCAGGATAATTATGATGATAATGTTTACCTCTTCCTCCAGCCAATCATTATACTGTACAATAGATGTCATAACAACATCAGCACCCTTCAGATAGAATATAATCTCACCACTCTGGTCATCCTGTTTATAGATATTACAACCTTAATCAACATGATTTACATAATTCATTAATGTTTTCCTTGTAAAATACTGTTAATGAAATATCAGAAGAATATAATAACATTTTAGGTTATCACTGACACTGTATGAATGGTCATAATTGGTTGTAGTAAGGACTTTCATTAAAGCAAGACACTTCCAGATTCATGCTAATTTTCATGAACATTTTGAAAATGTATTTAAAAGTAAACTAGAACTGTGTCCAAAGGACACAGATGCCCCCACCAACAACATATATATGGTATATAGTGAAAAAATTAACAAAGGGCCATAATTCTGTTAAATTTGGTCGCAGCGAAAATTTACTACCATCTACACATTAAGGTTGTTCATCCCTGGAAGTTTAAGCAAAATCTGCCATCCGGTTTAAGAGGAATTGCGTTCACAAAATTTCTATATGGTATATAGTGAAAAAATCAACAAAGGGCCATAATTCCATTAAATCTGGTCACAGCGAAAATTCCTTCCTTTCCTACCATCTACACATTAAGGTTGTTTATCCCTGGAAGTTTCAGCAAAATCTGCCATCTGGTTTTAGAAGAGTTGCGTTCACAAAATTTCTATATGGTATAAAGTGAAAAAATCAACAAAGGGCTATAATTCTCTTAAATTTGGTCGCAGCGAAAATTCCTTCCTTTCCTACCATCTACACATTAAGGTTGTTTATCCCTGGAAGTTTAAGCAAAATCTGCCAAATGGTTTTAGAAGAGTTGCGTTCACAAAATTTCTATATGGTATAAAGTGAAAAAATCAACAAAAGGCTATAATTCTGTTAAATTTGGTCGCAGCGAAAATTCCTTCCTTAAATACCATCTACACATTAAGGTTGTTCATCCCTGTAAGTTTAAGCAAAATCTGTCACCCGGTTAAAGAAGAGTTGCGTTCACAAGATTTCGGGACGGACGGATGGTCAGACAAACGGACAAGTGCAACGCTATATGCATATGGCATAAATATTATGAAGTGAACAAAGAAAGTAATTTACAAATTGCAATCAACGCAAATTACCGGACAAAGGTCAAAATATGCCAAAATAACTGTTATCAAGAAAACTTCATACAGGATATTCACCTGCATTACATTAAGTAAGGAATTAAAGGTTCAAAGAGTTGTTTCAGTACTCTCATTGCCTGACAGGGTGGATGGACCCTCATTAAGCTATGAATACATACATTCATTGGCTAAGCCAGTCATTAATTTTATGCACAGATGATGACAGATCACAAAGATGTTCAGCACATTACATAAATTCTAGTAGGCAACGCGATGGTTGGTAACTTTATTAATAGAACAATGTCAATAAATATATCCTACCTTTAAAATGATACCCATTCGTTTAGATTCTGATGTAAAAGGGAATATATGAAGGATGGTATAGGCCAGTATGGTACCGTTTGGGGCTCGCAGCTGCATTGAGTTCAAATCTCTCTTGACCAGAGTTAAACCCACACTTTCAGTCCAGGTCACTAATGCTACCTGTAATATTGTGATCATTAATCATAAATATTCATTATGAAATGGATATCAATCATGAATATTAATCAATTATAATATTCATGAATACTAATCAATCATTATAAATAAGTATAAATAAATAACAAACAAAAGCTGTCAGAAGGACAGTGTGCTCAACTTTTTTAAGTGCTTGATAGTAAAACAAGAACCTGGATAATGTTAGATTTATGGGCCTTGAACATCGACATATTATGTTCTAAAATAAGTGTGTGAAGTTTCAATCCATTTCCTTCAGTACTGTAGTTTTGAAGATACCAACTTTCACACAAAAACTTAATTAATGTGTGGGGCCTAGTGCTTAAGGTATCTGCCTCTCAACCCAGGGATCATGGATTCGAGTCCTACTCGGTTCAAGATGATGTTTCTTACTATGACATCAGTAGTGGTGAGTTCTAGGAAGAAGACTCGACAGTGATTAATATAACTTAAAGGTTCAAGAACATGTTTCAATTATAAATACCTCATCCGGGCTTGAAGCCTGATATACGACTGTTTGTTGACTTTGCTGATCTGCCTCTACCTGCAGGGACGTCTCCTCTGACTTGTCGTCATCAAATACCGGTGTCACATTGTGACATAGTGCCAGGGCTTGTACCGCGTCCAATACTCGTGTCACCACAGTACGTCTCACAGGTGTGCCCATTCTGCTTGGAGCAGAGGCTGTGGCTGATTGTGAAAATGCTGTTTTTATATGTGCTGTCACCTAGATAACAGAGACCACAAATATATTTCAACATGCTCTATAAAGAGAGATAATGCATTTGTGCCAAAAGACAGCTGAAAATGTAGCAAACACTGTAGAAAATATGCATGTATATAGGCAAATGTACAATTCTTCAAAAGACTTGTGATTCATACCTAAAAAGTGTCAGACACATATCATTCTTGATCACCTAAAATTTGTTGACAAACTTAATGACAGCAGCAGCAACAAAGCTAAAAGACACATAGACTCAGTAATTTGATCCCATTTAGTTGCCTCTAACGATCATGCAGTGATAAACAGTGGCTGCAATTCTGATGCCTCAACATTTTGAGACAACCCCTAAGCCACAAGGGAGCTAGAAAATAGGCCTTCTGGAGAATAAATTCTTTCGAGAAATTTATGCAGTATGTATAACACTGAAAATGTGTTGATCATAGAATAACAGTTTACCTCATCAACAGTTTCAGGGGTGAAGGCAACAGTACCAAGATGTAACTTCTTGAAAACCTGAAATAAAAAGTTCCCACTTAAAATACAACAAAATACTCTCACTTTTAGTTTTGTAGTAACTTGTTACCATCATTTGTATACAATGCTTCATTAAATTTATTGTTTAAGGCTTTGTGTTACATTTCAAGATGTAAATCTTTCATATCTAGCAGTGATAATGCTGCCATCTATGTCAGGCCAGTTCTCAAATATATGTATACACTATACTGTCTGGCTAGTTTGTTTGTTTGTTTTAGGTTTTACATCACATCGACACAGTATAGGTCATATCGCGACGCTCCAGCTTTACTGGTGCAGGAAGACCTCAGGTGCCCTTCCGTGCATTATTTCAGGCACAAACGGGCACCTGAGTAGAACCACCGACGTTCCGTAAGCTAGCTGGATAGCTTCCTCACATGAAAGAATCCAAAGTCCCTGGTGGGATTCGAACCCACAGTGGTGAGGGGCAAGTGGTTTGAAGTCAACGACCTTAATCACTCGGCCACGGACGCCCCCTGTCTGGCTAGATGTAGTTTACTATTTTTACATTTTCATACCAAAACCCCTAAAAATAACAATTCACAATTACAAATTCAAAGCATGGATATTCTAATTTATTATATACTTTTAAATGAAATATTGAGAAATATTGACGAAATAAAATGCGTATTTTCATTTTCCGTATTTTCACTGTAAAAATTTATTTTTCACTGCAGTGAAACATATTTTCCGTATTTTCACTGGTGTCTTGCCGGACTACTTTCTTTTAAATTCTGCCAGTACTCAAAATTTAAGGGAAAGTCTTGCAAATTTTAATGTCCTGAATATAATAAACAGAAAATTCAAGTTTTTTCTATAAATACATGATTTATTTTCATCTTGTGGCATGAAAATTACCATATTTCACTCGTGGCTACCGCCACTCATGAAATATTTATTTTCATACCACTCGATGAAAATAAATCATGTATTTATAGAAAAAACTTGAATATCCTCTATATACAAATAGAGCAGTTTAAAGTTATTATTAACTTTGTTTTAAAAATCAAACCTAAATCAACAACATGGTAATGTTACGAAACCTGTATTCATGTAAAAACATACCATATCATTTTGTGTAAGTGTTCCTGTTTTATCAGTAAGTAGGTAACTTATTCGGCCCAGTTCCTCTGGTATGGTGGTACTTCTAACAACAGTTCCAGCAATGTTCTTATCACGTGATATCATATAGGAATACCAGGCCTTTCCCATATCTAGATTGACTCGTAAACTGAAAAAACGAAAAATCAACAGATGAAAAGTTTGGAACTTGAAAATAAAACAGAACTTAAAAGTTCAGTTATGAACACAATATTTAAATCATTTCCAAAGAACAGAATTGTAATGGAGGTGGTGTTGGTAGTTTTCACTCCTGACCACATTGAATTAACCAGAGCACAGTTCAGCGACCACATCATTCCTGGGCAGGCTGTCAAGCAGTTTACCAGTACAAATTGCTATCACTTTCACAAGGAACTGATAACTTCTGTACTTGCCAGAGCAGAGGTACAGGGCAAATGACCATAGAAAGGATTTCATGATCAATCACAACGAAAGTGACCTGCACCGTCTGGAAATCAAACCCAGATTGCCCAATTCACATACCAACACTTTTCCTATTGAGCTAACCAGACTGTGCAAATGGTGTAAAAGGTGTTAAAGTTTCCAATTTGTATTTCTCACTTATTTTATGAAAATCATGACATTTCTTAAGCTAATACAACTTTTCAACATCTAATTTACTTTACCTAATTTACCTGAAAAAAAAATCAGCAAAACAACAACAAAAACTTTACCTGATAGGAATGATGTATGAAAACAATAATATGAATCGGAACAGGTATCTGTACCACGGTCCACCCCAGCCCTGAAATAATAAAAAAGTTGTTTTTATTAATTTACAAATTTACCTTATTAAATGTGTAATAAAACAAAAACAAAATTACACAAAGACAGCACACATGACTATTCTAAGTTAGTGATAACCGTATCTAAATTTACCATATTAATCAATGCTAGACTTATGGGTGACCTATAAAAAAAGCTACAATTATGACCTTAAAGATAAGTGTGAAGTTTCAAATAAATACCTTGGTTAAATACAAAAATTCTTTTAAAACTGTTTAACATTGCATACAGACATACATGTATGTATATTATAAACTTGTAAATGTTTTTGTTAAAAATACAACTATGTAAATGTCTTTGCTAATAATACAAATTTTCAATGACTAATTTTTACTTAAACACTGCAATGACTGTTTTCTTTTTTTTTTTTAATTGTTATTTACAAAATGGGTAGCATTTAAAAATATTGTATGATACAAATTGTTAGCAGATGTTTACCTTCAATATCATCATAACAATAGAAAGAACAACAACAGCAGAAAACAACACCTTTGTCAGTGTGTTTACTTCCAGATCTAATAAACCAACCTGAAAACAATAGTAGAAATATTTCAATATAAAAATTATCTGCATCAAAAAAGTTTTCACTGTTGCACTGTTTAATAACTTATAACTAGAAAATATGTTCCCCCTTTTTTCCTTATATACAATGTAGAACAAGCTTCATTATGATGAAGAACAAAGTCTTTTGTAATTTATTAAGGCACAACAGTAAGTATTAAATTCAATGCAAGTTCATTATATTTCAGAAGGATAATTTCAAACTGGTATGTAGGACTTTACTGACCAAAAGTGTTTATTTTTTCCTTTTTGCTGGACTTCAAACTTACCTTATTTGTTTGTTTGTTTCATTTTACGCCTTTTCTCCAACAGTATTTCAGTCATATAGGCGGGTAGTTTCCTAACCATCGTTCCTGGAGAGTTACACCAGTACTAGACTACCTTCCTCTGTGCTAAACTATCAAAGCATCTCCCGGGGATCGAACCCATGCCAGAGAGGTAACTGGATTAGAAGTCATCGACTCTAACCCCTCGACCATGAGGGCGGTCAAAATTACCTTACTTTACCTCTCCATATTACCTCACATTACCTCATATCCATATTTTCTTCATTGAGCAGAAAAAGGAATTAACCTGTTACATCACCAAGGGGACAATATAAACTTTTGAAGGGATGTATATTTCAATCAACAAAAACTTACATGCACTTTGTTCTTGCACTGAATAAACATCTTATATACATTGTACTTAATATCTTTACATCTGAGAAGAAAACTAACCTTGCTCTTCGGTTGAGAAGTGTTCATAACACTTCGACTCTCACAACCTGTGTATATAACCACCCCGAGTGCCGTTCCAGAGGCAACTACAGTGTTAGCCCATAATGTGTTCTCTATACTCAATGACTCATCTCCCCCTGGATTGTCTGTCTATAATAATAAAAGATAATACAATGAAAAACAATTGACAGGAAATTGTCACAAAATGATATTTTTCAGCTAATCGAGTATTAAATGGGTTCTGAAAGGAACTCCACTGAGGTCTTATAGCATAAAAGCATGAAATTTGAAAATCTTACAAATATCAAGTACTTATAATGGAAAAATACGCAAAAGATAACACAGAGATATACACAAAATTAAATTGAAAATTGATTTTTTATGCGATTATTAGTCAAATTTGAATGACAAGTGTTGCAATGCTTTTTATTTTTTTGTACTTTTTTTTCAAAATAAATATGATTATTGTGAAAAAACAGGATGAGACAATGATCTAAAATGTGCACACAAGTTACTGGACAAGACCATAATGAATTGAATTATTTTTCAGTAATACTTAAGTTAATCTGGTATTGTTCACAACCAAGTTTTCCTACCCTTTTATAGGTTCCTACAAAACTGTGGATATGTTTTTGTGGAGCTTCTGCATATACCTGGGCTCTAATGTCCAACAAATCCTGAAAAAAAGTAACAAATTATTAGTAAATACAATTAATATATTACGCATTTAAGTTTTTGCATTCACTGAATGGTTAAGTTTATTCTCATCAAATCATTTGTCCCTACTTGTTAAAGATTATACATTCAGCAAGACTAAAGAATTCTTTTATACTAGATATCTTAAACCAACCAAAAAAAAAACATGCTGAGGGACTTCTAATATATCTTCTGCAAAACCTGGATAGTCCCCCATTGTACCATAAAACCATTTGTCATTGTGATTTAAGATTACAGCCAATTCTTACTATTTTTATTTCTGATATAGCAATGGCATAACAAAGTCACAACAAGACATGTCCATAATGCAAGACCAGAGAGGAAATTATCCTACTAATTAAAATCTTTCATAAAACCCACTGGACCTTTTCAAAATTTTTTGAGTATCATTTTGAAGATGACATTCTCTCAGTTTGTTTACCGGGATTGTTGAGAGAAAAAAACACCAAAAAACAATGGAATATAAACACCACCAAAACATGTTCTTAATTCAGTTTGATTTACTTGAATTCAAATACATGCACAACCAAATATGTCTATGAATGTTTGTACTTACAGCATTTGAGGGAAGATGTTGAGTATCTTGTATTGCTAATCTCAATTTCCAGTCTGTCTCTCCATCAAGCTGGTCTGTCCTGATAAAACACGAACCAGTCTTTTCTGTAGTCCGCAGAAATATCATATCTGCTGGCACTCTCTGATCCTACGAAAAACAAACAACAGAATGTATAAAGCTATGTTTCTTCAAAAACAACATTTTTGGTGAATTTAATGTGAGGGACATTATATAAATATTAAGGGACATAAATAATACATTATTTTGCATTAAAAATAAAACACACAATTGTTCTGTCAAGTTTTTATCCCTCTTTTCAAAGCATCTACAATTTTTTAAGAACTACTTCCATTTGAAACAGATGTAGATCTTGAATATAAAAAGTCGTTCTTCATCTCATCTGCTTAAACATTTATTACCTATATTTAACGCTATATGACACGCTGATTTACCATACCTGCTAAATACTTATATCCTATTTTTCAGAATTATATGCCATGCAATCTGAGATTTATCTGCTTAAAAACTCATTTCCATAATCCTTTTTTTTTTCAGGACTATGTGCAACATTAATTCCGATTCATCTGCATCAACACTTAATCTAACTGATTCATGCATAGCCTCTTTGAAAACAGTATCCATTTAAGACAAAGGAGCTATAGAAGTGAAAAGAAGGGACACTACACTAAAGAATAAAAATATAAAATTTTACGCCTTATTAGTACATGTATTATATTATTTTTTTCAGTTTTATTTCTTTGCCCATTTTATTTTTCTGTATGAGAGAATAACTCTTTCTTCCTGATCTATAGTAATTAATGAACAGCACTCACTTTTTCTACAAAGACTAGATCTCCTACTTTCAACCTTGAACTCGGTACTTGTACAATTCCGCTATTTGTGAAGATTTTGAACTTCTGAGAGTTCGCCTCTTTATCACGACGATACCTTCTGAAGTCGTCCAGTGCCTCTCGAACCATCGTGACAAATATCACAAAACCCTGCAAGAGCGATAGAAGATATTACTCCAGGGAATAAAAAAAAGGACACAAGATAGATATGATTCATGTTGTAGTGTCTATCAAGTAAAATCATTTACTATTTAAAAGATCAGTAAATATGATCACTTTTATCAGGCACATGACATTTGTTTATGGCAACATTGGGTCACTACTAATAGTATTTCCTAATATATTGTTGTATCTTTCAATATTTGAATGATAAAATAAACCATGTTCCAGGTAAAAATTTGACTATTCCAATGACATGTAACTTTCCATTGTAGCTCTTTTACTTTCCATGTAATGCTTGCAGAAATTTTTCTATAACACAAATTTCTGCAAGCAAATCTGGAAAAGTATAGGAGCTATACTGGCAAAATATATACCATTAGAATAAAAAAATATTTGTCTGGAACATAGTATAAGTTCATTATTCAAATATTGCAAGATGTAACAAAAAAAATTAGAAAAAATTAAAAATTATACTATTAGAGGTGACCCAATGTAACTGCCAATGACACATGATCACCCTCCTTATTAAAAATGCATTTTATTCTCAGTAAAACTTTATCTGATGAGACAGTTAAGAAAGTTATAAGAACAATGACTTCATATAAACAACCCCACATGTCATAGTACATGCATTTATATGACTTTTTTTTCGCATTTGACATAACTGAAAGTTACATGTATATATATACATATATATATATAAAAGTTAACACATAGTAACAATGATGCCTCACAATAAACTTACAAGTGGTCCCCAGTATGTATACAGGTATCCAATCCTTATCTCAGGAATAAATTGTGAGGAGGCCATTACAAGGAAATATAAATTCAGGAAAAACTTGAACTGTTCAAACAAAACCTGTAATAGAAAAGTTATACAGTTTAAGTAAGAAATTTGATATTATGGTTAATATATAAATATTGATGTTGAAAACATTTTTTCATTCTTGACAGCAAATTTCTTTTTTTCCTCTCTTGTTTTTGGTTGGGTTTTACATCCCACAAACACAGAATAGGTAATACCGCAACTTTGCAGCTGTACATATGGAGGAAGACATCAGGTGCCCTAAAGTGCATTATTTCAGGCCCTAACGGGCACCTGAGTAAAGCCAACAACATTCTGTAAGTTAGCTGGATAGATAGATAGATAGATATTTATTCAGGTTATTCAGGATAGCTTCCTTTCTTGAAAGAATCCAAAATCTCTGTCAAAATTCGAACCAAAAGCAGTGAGGGGCAAGGTGGTATGAAGTCAACAACCTTAAGTTAACAACTTGGGCACAGGCAACCATCTGCAGTATCTAAAAACTTCAGGTGGCTGACCTGTGCTCTCATACATTCAATGTTGCTTAGTGCTGTGATCTGGAATGAAAACTTCGAACACCACCACCACACCATGAGACATTTAAAACATACATGATCACTAAAATTCAATAAATTGGTGAAAATCAATTCTAGCATAATATCATCTCTTGACAATCACGAAATCCAAAATTAAGAATAAACAGAACAATTTCTTGTACTATACAAAGATATAATACAGCAAAAATTTATATACTCACTTTTGGTATAAATGTGATGATACTGTATTTCTGGTTACGGACCACATTTTTGGGATATTTTTCATCAGTTAGATGCTCTAGCCCAAGTGGAACAGTTCTTGGCTTGAATACTTTCTTCTTACAACAGCATTTTAAACAACTGAAATTAAACAGTGAACATTTTTGCTTGCCTAAAATTTGTAAATGCCTTAAAATTATTGCTGGATAAACCCCTTTCCTAAATTGACAAAACTGTTGAAAATTCCCAATTAAATCTTTTAATGAAACAACTAACAAAACCAACTGCCATATTTTCATTAGTACAATTTGCAATAATTTCCTTTTTTCATATTAAACTATAACAATGTCTGATACATCATATTTTTTTCAATATAAATGTACATTGTACTGTACAAATACAATGTAACATCTATTTCAAACTGAAAATATGTATCATTACCATTTACAGCATGTTTCCAAGAAGTTTGAGCACCAGTACGACAGCCTAGACTGACCATGTGGTCTTTGCCTCCTCGGTCGTACAAGAGAATCATTTTCCTCCATGATATAATTTTCCCTGGACATCAATGGAATATCATCTAAAGAATCATCATCTGATGATCTACTGAAAATAAAAAACATTTATCAAATTACTCTTGTATGAAAGATAAGGAAAATAGTTTCTACCCTACCAACCCTAAATATTTTTAATGGACTTGTCCATCTTTCAATCAGGAAAAAAACATTCATCATTTTAAGGGAAAATGAGTATTGACAGGAAAGCGAATATTGCAGACCATGGTCAGACAGCATGTATGATAGTGCCGGTTGATCGTGGTCTGCACTGGTTGCCACCAACAAGCAAAGGGCATTGTTTAAATTGTGTTGTAATAAGAAATATTATAAAAATAAATAATAGTTTATTAAATATAAGAACAAGAGAAAGAATTAAGTTGTTGATACTTCAATTTTACTTCAAAAACATAATTTGACATTTGGTTATTATCAATATGATTCAACCTTTAAAATTCATAGCAAGACAATTCAAGAAAACTCAAATGTGGATATCTCTGTCATATATTCAATGAACTTGACCAAATAAATAAGACAAGAGGCAGAAAATACTTTTGGTTTTTGAGTAATATCATGTATTCACTGTACCTTCATCTAAATTAATGAAAAAGAAACTAAATAATTGTCATGTTACAATAATTTGAAAAAAAGTTACAAAACAAGTAAAAACACACTGTTTATTACTTTGCTTGGAAAAATTGGTCCATTTAGTATGCTACCTTTAGAATAGCATCTAAAGTACTTACAAACTACCAAGTATGTAAAGAAGAAATATGGTTGCAAACTTAAAATCACGGTAAATTTGGTCATAAGCAAAAGGCAGGAGTATAATTTTGATGGTTAGGAAAGAAATTTACAAAGAATGCAATATATAACTATGCATATCTATTATCAAAGGATGCTCAACAGGGCACATGATAGATTGAAAGACATTTATAGAATGTTCAAGTCTTCAGGATTGGTTTTCCAAGACTGGAAGTTTATGGTAAAAGAAAATTGTACAATGCATAATTATAAGGTAGATTTCTAAATTTAACAAATGCAGGTGCATATTGTAAGTACTAACAGATGCTGTGATGTTAAAAGAAGGAGGGACATGCTATGAGTCAATCTTACCGCCTCTTAAATGTATAAGCCATTTCGTAAATATTATGTAAGTCTTTTCAGCCTTGGACCCTTTCTGTAATAAACATATCAAATACAGGGTTGGCATTTTTGGTGATAAAAACTGCTATGTCAAATAAGAGTAAAATCAGCTACGGCAGCATTTATGGAATTTATTACCTACCAGATATATAACAATAGGACCATGATGGCCCTTATATCGCTCACTTGATTATTAAGGCTTTTAATTAATATTGTTAGGCTGTTAGCAATGAATGAAAATTAAATATAATATCATTATCTTAAACTGATATCACAATGTTCATATCTTGAAGATGTAGAAAGCTTAATATATATAATGTTTATATAAAATTATTGTTAATGTTGTTAAAGAAAGTATTCAAATGATTACCTACATGTATGTAACCAAGCATAAAATAATGACTTGATGCAATGTACTCGGCAATAGAATAGATACAGGGAAGTCAAAGGCTTTTGTCTTTCCCTGCTATAGACTACACATGTACATTTAAAAGGAAATCAAATTAAACAATTAAAAATAAATCCTATCTGATAGGGCAGCACAAAATACCCAAATACACCCAAATATACCCAAATACTGTCCAAATATTGCCCAAATATACACAAATATTGTCCAAATATACTAAAAATAAATGTTTTATACAAAAAAAAGTGCTGTTTTTATTATGAATTACAATATACACATTCACTAAGATAAAATCAAACATACCCAAATATACATTTTCCTATCATTGTGTTTTGAACCAAAATTAGTCAAAATATATTGACGTGCCAAAGCTTGATTTTGAGATATTTGCGTTCTAGGGCAGAATCTCGCTTTTTTGTAGAGGCGAGATATTGCCCAGACACTAAAATAGTACAGTATCTCGACGCGCAGTACAATTAGTTGGACTAGAACCAAAATATACCCAAATACAGTGTAGGGCCTACTCCATTAAAGCTATAGAAATTTTTTTTTTAAAAATAATACGATGGACACTTGTATGAAATTTGAACAAAGTTATTCCCCCCTCTCCAAAAAATGTAGACAACAAATACATGTATAATCATATCTTAATCTTAAATTGCAAGTATATTCATTAATGAACCTACTGTAGATAAGCAAATGTCACAAGTTTATTTTCTTACAACATCTGAACTGCCCATTTCAACGGAATGAAAGTTATAGCCGCCTAAGTCATACTATGTTATAAATATTAATTCATTTTCTCGTTATAATCTGTTTTTTATACAAACAAAAATGACTATTGCTATATTTGGGTATATATGGGCAATATTTGTGTGTATTTGGGTATTTCGTGCCGCCGATCTGATATGTGAAAGTTTATAAATTAATATTTCACAATGTTATTTACAAATATTTGATGTTTAATTTGGTGCATTTTCAAAATGGGGCTGTTTAATGGCAAACATTCTGAACAAGCAATCTGGCAAATATTCTGAACAAGCAATCTATGTTTTTCAAATGATATGGCTTTAAAAAAATTATTTTCTGAAATATTTATCCTTTTTCACAAAGATTTTTAAAGAACATCATGTCATAGGAATTTTCATTTTTGATTTTGAATTTAAATTTCGTCCTTTTCTTGAACACATACATAATTTGCACATAGCAAACTATACAAAGTTATACCGAGACATGCTCAGGGCTCTAGCTAGACCAAAATTTTAGGGAGAAGTGACTTCTCCCTCAGCTCCTATCAGGGAGAAGTTTGATGACATAAGGAGAAGTGAAAAAGTGCTTAGTACATTGATTTGATATATAACAAGAGCTGTCCGTAAGACAGCGCGCTCGACTTTTTTATTGCTTGCCAATAAAAAAAGTTTTTGCAGTAAAAGGCAATACAAGAATCTCTGTATTTTTAAAGTGAACAATGGCCATGAGCATTAAGATATTTAGTGAAGAATTATTTTACTGAATTGTGTGATACCCTTGAACACTGCTTGCCTATAATACAAAACATTGACAGTTAAGGGCCATAATTCAAATAAAATCTTTGACAGAATTACCTTCTCCTGGACATGTTTGGGAATCATGATTGTAAACAAGTATTCCAACTTTCAAATTAATATCTCAAACAGTTCAGTCAAAAAGTGGACTGGTACTAAAAACTTAACCAAGATTCTAAGTCGATAAAAGGCCTTAATTTTTAAAACAAATCCTTGACAGAGTTACCTTCTCTTGCATACAGATGGGGGTAATGATGTGAAATAGCATTAAAAGTTTCAAAGCAATATCTCAAAGGGTTAAGGCAATAAGTGGATTTTACCCATATTCAATGTATTTTCTAAGTCAAAAAGGGGCATAATTCTGTCAAAAACCTTGACAGAGTTATGTCCTCTTGTCTGTTGATGAAGGTCGTGATGGTAAACAAGTATGGTCAGTTTCAAAGCAATACCTCCAATGGTTTTGAAATAAAGTGAGGTGGTACAAAAACTTAACCAAGCTCAATACACTTTCTAAGTCAAAAAAGGGCCATAATTCTGTCAAAAACCTTGACAGAGTTATGTACTCTTGTCTGTAGATGGAGGTTATGATGGTGAACAAGTATGGTAAGTTTCAAAGCCATACTTGTAATACTTCTGAAATAAAGTGGGGTGGTACGAAAAACTTAACCAAGGTGTGACGCCAACGCCGACGCCGGGGCGAGTAGGATAGCTCCCCTTTTCATAGAAAAGTCGAGCTAAAAAGGAGTTTTACCTATAAAATTGATAGTGATATTCGAAGTATTAGTTCTAAAACCCTCTATCATCAGACCATTATAATGTTTTCTTCCTGATTAACTCCACACACCCCCCTCCCTTAAGAAAATATTCATTGTACAACACATACTGGCAAAATTCTCAATGAAAATTAATGTAAATGATACCTTAAGGAATTTCCATTAATAAACTACATTTTAAGTGGTATTGGACACATTTTAACAAAACAATTTTTCCTTTTGGTAACTACTATTTTCATCGTAAAAATCGGCATCGCGAAAATATGTGACAAATGAAAATTTGTCTGTTTCCTGCAGAAACACTTACAATTCTAGTTGTTGTTGATTTTGATTATATTTAATTAAATATTCAATGATTATTTTTAGATTGTTATTCATCCGCTATTGCAACAGGCATTGTAAAACAAAATTTTCAAATTTGTAGTTTACCGCATAATTTACCGACGTTTATGTAACTTTTTGAAGACAAAGTTTATCTACTACTGTTTTTGACTTGTCCAAAATTGGTCTGATGTGGGTCAATGTTTTTTAAGTTCTTTAACAAATTTCATTTTTACTATCAAACAGGTATCAAACCATTAAATTTACTTGTGCTTCTGTGTGTATTAATTTATATGCAAGTAAATTTACACGGTCTGTGAGGTTGTGTGTAATTACTGTCAAACAAATATGGTATAAGCAATTCTGGGTGTAATCTTTTTACACTCGCTGATAAAATAGTGGCAGGTGTCGTAAAATTATGCCTAAAAAATGTGATGTTGACATCGGCGAATTTCCGATGCATCTGCATATCATGTCACTTAAATGTGTTAATTGATGTCAATTATCGGCCGTAACTGCATGTGCGTCACCAATTCAGTTTGATTTATGCCTGGAGGCGAGGATTAACTTAATTAGCATGCACTGTATGATATATATGTACATGTGGTCAGTAAAAAAATGCGGCGAAATCGTTTTCGCTTTGATGTTCAAACTCGGCGAAGTTCTGACACTTTAGGCGACTAAGTCGCCGAAATCGCCCAGTTGCTAGAGCCCTGCATGCTTAATGGTAACGTGAAAGGTTTCCAGACCATTCTATAAATTTTGAAAGACCTTGCCTATAAACACACTCGAGATAAACAAATATCTTTCGAACTACAAAAATATTACCAGTTGCAGTGTCTATTCTAGGCGATTCACGCTAGTATTTCACAGATCGCGCACAATTCAAAATCATGTGCGTGAAAATCGCGCATCTATAAAAAAAGTTAATAAAATCGTAAAATTTTCATCCCGCATTATATTTGGTTGTTTTGTTTACATTTACACTGAAAACCGAAGGGAGGTAACTGTAAGCTAATTATAATAATTTAGTACCGTATGGTACTGGTTACGTGAGTTGACAGAAATTAACGGAATGTTCCGTACCGACCGGAACTAGTGTGCTAGGTCTGACAGTTGGGCGTCATTTTAGTGTAGTAAATTATCAAGAAAAATGAGGCAATTCCTAGCTTGGCTACGATCTAGATGTGAAAGATAGGTCGATTGTTTGTATTGAATCAATCACGGCAGTTCTGTAATAATTTGTTTTCGTTTAAAAATTAAGGGGGGACAACTTCTGCTGCCTTAAATAAATATTTTCCTTTAAATTATTTCATTGGTTGAACGCCTCAGTGTAAACTTAATGCAGACGATTTAACATTGGCAGTTTTTATTGGCACCCCTTGATTTTGAAAATCGCCCCCTTTTTTGAAATAGAGGGGGGAAAATCACCCCTATTTTTCAATTCCTAGAATAGACACCGAGTTGTAAACATAACAATAGAAATAATCCATTTAGAATGCCAATGTTTTCAATTCTTTAAATGAGTCATAGTCATACAACATATTTGGTGAGACAGGTGGGTGGGGAGTGAGAAAAAAACAACTGTATTTTCTTTAAAGAAATGATACAGGAACGGAGTTTTTATTAAATAAATGTATTAAACATTTAATTTCGTATGCATGGATGACCCTTCACCTTGATCTAAGAGAAACACGGCGATATCCACCACTATGCCTAGAAAATATCTTTGCTGGCATTGATTTTGCAACTTTCTTCCGCCATCGACACAGTCGTTTAAATCATAGAGAAAATTTTAAAAAAATGTTTGCATATTTCATAACTATTCTTAAGAAAAAGGCTTATAAAATGTTAAAAATTTATCTTAACTTAAATGATTGTTAAAATATTGATTTTAAATTTGATGACAAGATTTATTTATTTCTTAAATTTGTTTTTATTTTTAATTTGTTATAAGCAGCCGGAAGTAAACAGGTACTCTGCCTGACAACGGGACGCTCTTTCCATTTTTACATCAATTAATCTTGTTAAAAATACTTGTTCAAAAGGTTAAACAATGTTATAGTCATGAGGAGTCAGGACAATGAGGTAAGTGTACTTGTTGCAAGAAAATGCCACTTCTTTATTTGTAACATTTAGATAACTTTTTAAACTTTGGCAATGACCTAGAGCAATCAATTAAAAATCAATTAATGACAAATTTATAAATAATGTACAGAAGTTTACATAGTTTAATGATGTTTGGTCAGAAATAGAACAATACAGTTATTGAAGCGACTAAATTGATTGTAATCAAAGTGATTATGTTTCAGATAAGGCTGAATCTATCTTTTCATAACTCGTAATGTTTACCCATGTGTTGGTATCAAATGAATTATATCCTAAAAAGACTGCCAAATCAGTGTTTATAGAACACAAAATGAAGGTAAAGATAAACCTGTTTAATGCATGGAATGTGTCCTATGTATGAATAACTCTAATCTAGTAAACAGGCTTGATATCATGTTTGATTATATTAATATTTGAATCATAAATTGCCCTCCTTAAACTCTAACTGCATGAAAACAAGTTCAAAACAAGACTTTGTAGTGTGAATTTTTTTCATCTAAATTTTAAGAGGCTTTTAGAAATAAATGTAATCAATGTCACATAAATCAAAGAGGATACAATTTAAGAAGGTAAGAAAAATTGTGTATGGAATATAAATATTTTTTGTAATAGGTAATATTCACAGTTAAGTGCCGAGTACTGAACAAGCTCTTTCCTGCTTGTTCAGTTTAATAGTTATATGTAATATAACATCTAAGACACATGTACACATCTTAGATACATGCACACTTGAGGATAAGCTACAACACTGCCATTTAAGATAAATGCTTAATTCAATGCACAATGTTATAAAATGACCATGGGTAATCCATATAATTTAGTTTTGAAGGTATAAGAACTTTATCATAAGAGTTTAAAATACTTACTTTTTTCTTAGTTTCAGTTTTTACACTGTACATGAATAATACTCAGGAAGAAAAATAAAAATTATAGTCATTTTTATTGTTGCATGATGTGAACAATACAATCGCTATAATGTATAATATATAAGGCACAACATTTATTGAAACACAACATAATTTGTTTTCAGTGAAAAAAGTGATATAGAAAGTACAAAAGATTTTGGAAGTAGAGATCTTAAGTCAATTTACAGTGTATGTACATGAATGTGAAAAGGAAATTTGTTTATTTTTGTGATTTATTGTACTATTTGTTAAATGTAGCTGTGGTTGAGGATTTTGATGTCCATGTATTAGGAAAAATCTAAAATTGTTCGATGTTGTTAATTGTCTTAATTATGAATTGGTTGATTAATATCTGTGGAAATGAATAACATAGCGTTGTATAATTGTGTTTTTAATAATACTTGTAATGATAAATGAAACCAAATTTTGAAAGCTGTAATTGTGTTTATAGTAGTTTTATGGTGTCTTTTGAAGGCTTAATCAAGAAACAATAATGTGTTAAAATATTTACTTTTTAGTTTTGCTTGTTCTAACTGATTAATAAGAATTTGATTCCTTTTACATAATTTATTAAACATTGCTTAAACTAACTGCATGATTTTTGTATGTTACCTGAAAGGTAACCATTGAAACTTTTATGTAACTTTCAAACAAAAAGTTAACTTAAAAACATGTTTTATTACAATATTTATAAGACACTGTAGAGTTTATCTACCCATAAAAATTGTAATGATAGTGAGAAAGTATTTAAAGAATATGTTTTATATTTGATTAAAATAGACACCTGAAATGGGTTGTAATGTTATAAATTTTCTTAAATTCACTTTTGCTGTCCATCAATATTAACATATTGTATAAACTAATTGTTTATATACATGTATTTATTTACAATTGGCAGCCTGAGAGGGACCCTTTCTTGTGCACATGTGGTCCATGTAAGAAATTTTGGCGAGACACATTCAGTGAAAGTGGTGATTTACTAAGAGAGCCCCCAGCATGTCGGGGTCAGCATACTGCAATATTGTCTGCTCAGAGCAAGGTGGTCAAAGTTGGTGATAGAGTCCTTGTTCAAAACAAATTTCCAGGTATGACTTTAACATAATCTTACGCTTAAAAATAATTTAGCTCATTTAAGCAATTCATATTGCTATTGAAACATAAACAATGTTTGTATTAAATTATAGATTAGATAATTTCAAATTGAAAGTGTTTGATTGATTGCAAGCAAAATATGCCATGAATAATATTTCTTCATGTTACTTAAGTTACCATTATAATCATAGTAAAATATTCAATTTTAGTTTAAAGCTTAAGTTATTGTGATAATAATATACAGTTTGCATAGTTACTGACTTTATAATTTATTCACTAAACATTCATGTATATAATTTATTCACTAAACATTCATGTATAGTATAAGTATATGTATGCTTTATTATTAAACTTTATGGTTTCAAACCATTTGCCATTTCAATTTTTCAAAACACATATGATTAAAACAATTTTTTTAGTGCCATTATTTCATATTTTTACATTGCTTCTCATTTTATATCAAGTAGGTAAGAGGAACTTGTGATTTGGCAAACTTCACTTTAATGTACTTTTATTATATATGCAAATGTAACACATAGATGATCAGAATACCCTTCCTATTGCAATTTTTGTAGACTTTTTCATTTTATGAATATTTTATATCTCATTTCATCTGTAGATGTAATAGATGGAAGATCAGGTATTTCTCTCTTTTAAGTTTGCATTTTTTCTTGCTTTTCATGTTCAGTTTCTACTGTTGGTTGTAGTCGTCATATCCCCAATGGTTCATGCTTTAAGTCCTTTCTGAATATTGTTTATACAGCAGTTAAATGAAATTGTACTTCATCAAAATGTTGAGATAATCTTATACAACAGTAAGGACATATGAGCTGTGTCACGACGAAACCAACATAATGGGTTTGTGACCAGCATCAATCCAGACCAGCCTGTGCATCCGCGCAGTCTGATCAGAATCCATGCTGTTCACTATCAGTTTCTTTACATGTTATAGAGTTTGTAAGCGAACAGCATGGATCCTGATCAGACTGCGTGGATGCGCAGGCTGGTCTGGATCCATGCTGGTCGCAAACCCATTATGTTGGTTTTGTCGTGACGCGGCTCATTTATGTATTGAGTGTGTCTTTCACCTATGAGATTCTTTCTAAAGATCTGCAGATTATTTGACCTGGCTTTGAGTTTATAGCTCTGTCTCAAATCTTAAGATTTTTATTGGTCAATATTCATAATGTGACAGTCCCTGACCAATGAAATACCTGAGGTCTGAGTCTGAAGCATAGAAAAATTCTTTATAACCTTGGACCCAGGCCCCAAGGTCAATAAATTTACTTGACCTTTGCTTTTCATTGGCCAGTGTAAATTATTCTGTGTCAGTTTTGACCAATCAAATACCTGAGATCTGACTTTGAGCTGAGAAAAATTCTTTATAATCTTGGACCCAGTGATATCTTGGTATTTGGTACTTGATATTTTCATAATTTCTCTATCTGGTTTAACAGGCTATTCTATGATAGCTCGATATTAATAAGGTCAGACATTCTCTTATGTTGAATATTGATGTTTTATTTTGGTAAGGTAACTTTTGCAAAGCTTAAAGTTAAACATTTGACAGTAAATTTGTCATTAACCAAGAAATTAAACCATTTATTTCTACATTTTCTATAAAAATGAATTAAATTACATTAATAAATCAGAGCAAATATTAATCCTTTGAAATTTTTGTCTTCAAGTTTGTTTTTGTTCATCAACAACATAAAATAATGTAATCCTTTTTTTTTTCTCTCCCTGGATATGCATCTTTTCCTTCAAGGAGCAGATGGTAGGTTTATAGATATCAGTCACAGACCATTACATCATCATATTTCATTTAGTAGATATTAAATTACAAGTAAATTATTTCATCAGACAGACATGCGATTTTTGATATAATGTTATCCTTTATCTCTGAGTGTTGAACTGTGAGTGAGACAGAAATATAAAAACATTTACACAACTTCATTTAAAAACCGGATATTAATATACATTTGTAATTTGAACCACCACTGTGCGTATTTTGAATATTTGCAGTATTATTACAAGTCAGTGCACTTACTGTCTGTATTCATCTATAAACATGTAAAGGTATTGAAAAAAAATAGAAAGCTTCGGCCAAATTTTGGATCAGATACTGGATTCATAAAAATATGAAGTCATATAGCACTGTATTTCACAGTTTAATAGTTTGCTTTGTGTGTGACACAGTCAACATCAACTATTTCTATAGGGTCTACAGACATCTCTGTTCATTTCACAACTTTTGTGTGATCAAATAGATCTTGATATAATTATTATATTATAAGATATAGGGAATTAAACATTAAAATTTATGATAGATTGTATTTGTGGTGTTTTTTTTTTACCTTAATTTGTTTGAATTTTTTAATTTGTTATTCAAGTATGTTTCATCAACATCAACTTGCAAAATAACCAAATTTCATATCTAGACAAGACCACCATTTAGAACCAAATATTTGTTGGTTTGTTTTTTTGTTCAAAGGGTATTTTATAGTTCTTAGATCTGTCTTAGATGTGAAACAGATTCTAGCTCAGTAAATGTCCTGACTTTTTTCTTTCGTAAAAAGTTCCTGTGGTGTTGTATAGCTTAGTGAAATTTTTCAGATTTCTTTGAAGTGATTTAGACCTAATATATGTCATCAACTTAGTGCAGTATCAGGTTAAGTTCTTCTAAATTTAATAGGAGTTAACCAGTTATTGCACTAAGGTGTAGATGTTCTATTGTTCCCTTACCGGTCTCTGCTGGGCCTGAGAGTGGTTATAGTCTAATGCCACCAGTACAGAGCCAGGCCTACTTCAGTGAATCCATGAATTCTTACCCGCCAGGCTCTATACTGTTGGCGGCATAATAAATAAATGACTTGTGGTTGTTTCATCTCAATGTCCCCAAAAATGGACTGTTCCAAAATTAGAAGCTGGATATTATAATGTCTGTTTAAGAAATCACAGGTTTAAGTTTCAAGTAGCATTGTCTATGGAATTCCTTATCCCTAATGACTCACCAGGGTTCATTAAATCCCATTGCAGAAAAGCTATTACTATTATAAGCTAATAATTATTGGAAGCTTAAGGCTGTGGAAATCTGCGCAGGCACCAAACCAAACACTTTCAGAAATGATACATGTTTTTATGTTTGTTTGTTTTCTACAATGCAGTAGATGATGTATGACTTCATTCTGAGCTTTACTGGTTGAGCCCGGAAACCTCAGGTGCCCCTTGATGTGATTTTTTTTTTCAGAAATAAGGGGTGACCAGTCGTCAGAACCAACATCATTTCGTTCATACCATAATTAAAAAACCTAAGTAGAGTTCCTTTAATTAAGTCACTATAATTTATAATCTTGTGAAAACATTTTCATGTGGAAGTGTTGCATCTTAATTTGTTTAACATTTAAAATCATGTTGAACATTGCATTATCATGTTGTTTTTGTTTTTTCACCATCTTAGTGTCCAATTAAGTCATTCAGAACAGTATATTTACATGTGCAAAGGTGTTTTGAGCTACATTGTTCTGCCAGAAGTAAATTTGTTTTTAGATTAATTACAATGATTAGTTCCTGAATTCATATTAACAATGCTTTGGTTTAGTCTTGCTCTTTTTTTCATCAGAAAGATGTTGAAAAAGTTTTTATTACTGATTTTTTTTTCTCCATTTTTTTTCAGGAACTGTAAAATGGGTGGGAGTGTTAGACGAAGATTCAATAGCTCCCGAGTTATATGTTGGTGTAAGACTTGATGACAATAGTAAGTTTTAGTCGTTTTCATACACATAGAATTAAACAATTGTTTTGATTATGCTAATATATGTGAACATCATTATTGATATATACATGATTGTATATAATTAATTTTTTTCTAAATATTTAAAAAAGTTTTTAGTTTATTTGAAATTTGAACCTGCGTAATCTCCAATCTGCTTATTGGAACTGACCAGTACTGGTGTCATATAAGGAAGAATGATAATGTGATCCGAGTAGGATTTGAACCCATTCCCTTGGGTTGAGTGACAACCAGCATCAACCAGAAAGGGGGCATCACTCCCCTGAAATAATTTTTTGCTCGATATGGAATCACTATAAAAACAATTTTCCTTTTAAATACTTAAATAACTGTATTCATTTTATATAGTTTTATTTAATGAAATATACCTTTTATTTATTTTCAGTTAATTCAACACACAATGGAATATATAATGGAAAGAGATATTTCCATGTCCCGCGAGGTCATGGTGCTATGGTTAAATACACAGAAGTCATGCCTTTAAAACAACCAGAAAAACGCCCAGCAATATCAGGAAACCCAATGTTCCCTAGCTGGCATGAGGTCCAAAGAAGACGGAAAGAAAGAAATCAAAAGTATATTAAAATTTTATTCTCTTAAATTTTTGTAGGTTAAACTTTATTAGCTCAGTTTCAAGGAAAAATATGGACTTAACCCATTACTTCATGTCTTGAGCATTTTGTGAAAAATGGCTGTTTTCATTGAAAAGTCTCCCGTTACAAGTTCAAATTGCTATAATACTGCTTCAACACTAATCAAACTTGGCACAAATGTTGACTGGACCATTGCCCTTGCAACAACATGCTCAGGCTTAAATTTTCTGTTACCATGGCAACGAGGGGACATCTCAAAATTGCCAAAAATCACTATTTTGCGTTGATTTTTTCCATCAAAATTGATTTCAAAGTGCTGCAACTTCTCAATGGATTGAGTTAGAGTCAAATGCTTTTCAGCGTTGGTTACACGTTACCTTATGATCAATCTGGGGTCATTTACAGCCTCTAACAAGTCCAAAATTTTCTTGGCGATGGGGGCACATCCCCCTTCTGGCAACCCCCTGATGTATCTTTTGGTTGGGGGGCCGCGCCGAAAAAGAGGTCACTTTTTTTAACAACATTTCTCAAACAAAAACAAGTGTTTGGGGCCTAAATAAGGCATTTTTTCATCATTTGAGACAACAAAAAAGGGGGGGGGGGTGAAAAAGGCGTTAAAAGGCGTGTATATGAAGTAATGGGTTAACCTAAATTATCTTCCAGCCATTTACTAGAAGTAACTGAAACCCTGCTTCTTTTTTCCCTCTTGTAATAGATTAATTCTTTTAGCAATAACCATATAAAATATGAACTGAATTAACATTTCAGATTACAAACAATTTATCAAAGTGCTGGAATGGCAGGGCCTCAGTTTGTTGAACCGTATGTGACACCACCAAAGACTGCTGCAGCAGCAGGATCGCGAGGGACGTCGCCTGTTAAAGCTTATAGAGAACCAATAATTCACATCAGTGACCCAAATGATATAGCATTAAGAGTAAGGAGTGTTTACACTATAATCAACTTTTTTTTTACTTAGATCTTCAAACCACTTGTCCTGGCACCTCTGTGGGTTCGAATCCAGACAGGGATTATGGATTCTTTCATGTGAGGAAGCTATCCAGCTAGCTTACGGAACGTCGGTGTTTCTACTCAAGTGCCCGTTCGTGTCTGAAATAATGCATGGAAGGGCACCTGAGGTCTTCCTCCACCAGTAAAGCTGGAACGTGCCAAATGACCTTTTATGACTGTGTCTGTGTGACGTAAAACCCAAACAAACAAAAACTTAGATCTTTTGGAGTAGAAAGATTTTTAACAAATTTGATAAAGAAATGCTTTAATCATTGAATGTTTTTAGAGTCACACATCATTTGCATAGTCACATTAAAATTTTGGTGTTTTAAAAATAAAACTAAATCACAAAAATGTATAATGTAATTAATTACATTTAAAATGTAATGGTCATTTGATTAATTACATGTACTTACAATTTGTGTAATGTAATTTATAAATAAAATAAAAAGAAGAAGTCAATTGCATATTTTTAAGATTTCCTTTAATATAAAACCAAGGTTTATTCTCTTTTATGCCTTTATTGATAAAGTAACACATCCTTTGAATTAATACTTTTATATCACTTGGATACTTAATCACCAAATGGAATGAATTCCAAAGTTTTGTTTTAATGTCATTCTCTATACATCTGCTAAAATCTACTAAAAATATTTTGTAGATATCCGAGTCAGTTGTACTGGCATTGTTACTAATATATGTAATGTAATGTGTAATTTAATTTGACCTTGGACCCCAACATGAGCGTTATAATGGTACAATACAATTTTTCTTCAGTAAGATACATTACTGTACAACGTAAATTTTTGTGACAATATTCTCCCTTTATTCCCTCAGGACTTGCATAAGAAGACACAAATAGATACAAAACGTAAAGTGTTAAAAGAGGATCGCGATCAGAAAGAGATGGAACGGTTTAGAGAACATTTTGGCGGCGGCCCTGAGGCAGATCGACTTGCAATGACATTAAAAAAATTAAAAGTAGCTTATCAAGAAGGAAAAGATCTGGTGCGGAGAAGGTCAAATAAAGATCACGACCTTACATCGGAATCGGGACTTAGTGATTATTAAACTTTTGTGTTTACCAATGATGAACTATTGTTGATATTAGAGAAGAAGAGATGTTATATTAATAAGTTTGACGATGTAGTTTTAAACTTATTTTAAAAATTATTTTAGTTTTGATTTAAAAGTGGAATGGACAAAAAAATTGTAAAGACGGCATTTACATAATATCAGGGGAGATGAAAATTTTGTAATTTTGGATTTGAGCGAAGTGTTGTATATACTCGTAACATCAAAGAAAAGTCTTCCATAGATGTTGTTGCATAATAATATACTGAGAAAAAAATTATAGCCAAGAATCAAAACAATTTTAAAACCAAGTGCAAATTGAAAATCTTAAATCTATCTCTTTTCCCATTTCATACATGTTTTAGCATGTATAAAGACAAATATCAAATTCTTGTACATGTAGTATAAAAATTACAGCAATTCTTTGTTAATCAAAATAAATATCAAATTAAATAGGTAAATTATGTCAAGTTACATGTCACATAAATAGCCAAAATTTATAATATTTATATTGAAAATGTGAGAAAAATATAGTGATACAGTATTTTTAGAATAGAATTTTGTCACTATATTTCAAGATATTTTATTATATATATAATGTCACTTTACATACACTCTTTGTTTTTATATTTAGTTTACATTAGCTTTACTAGATTGTGCTCATTCATAACTGACAGTGTAGTGTGTTGATTACTTGTTTGTTATTTTTTTTTGTCTGTGATATTTGTTTACATTTTTTGTTAATATTTTCTTTAAAGGGACATGCATTCACATTTTTTGTTAATATTTTCTTTAAAGGGACATGCATTCACTTATTTTTTTTGCCTTTTTTTTGTTCTTCGGGAATTAAGTACATGTATGCATGTATATAAGAGTAATTGAGCATGTTTTCCCAATTGTATGAAAGCAGAAAAGTGTTATGTTTGTTAATATTGTATGTAATAATTGTACAAATGACAAAAAAAAAACCAGAAAAGATTTTTTTATCTCGAAAATATGACTTAAGGTGGACCAAAAAAAAAATAAATATACATGTAGTTAAGCAACTTTTCTGTAATCACATGTTAAATATCTATAGAATTTTGAGTTCAGCATGCTATGCACTGGTACTTGCACTTCTATTACTATTAATGAATTTTATTGTAGGGTGGAGGCATGCCCCTTTAATATCTTTGTTCTATTTTTAGAGGGTACTTAAAGTTTAAGTAAAACACTTTTACAATTTGACAAAAGCTTTCCTGGAGATGCTAAGAAGCTTTGCTATACATATCTGTTGTGCATTTTGTTGATTCAATTTTTTTGTTCAATTATTTTTTTGGTGAAGATTTTTACATAGTGTATGGATTAATTAATGGTATTTTTTATGTAAGAATTTTTTTAAATTCATTATATTTTGGTAAAGATTTATACATAGTGTAGGGTTTTTTTTAATGGTATTTTTTTATATTAACTTGAATACTCAGGTTTAAATTTATGCAAACAAATAGTAAGGCAGTATATTGTGAAATAAGTTCAGTGTAAATTTTTGTATGAAATTTCAAATACTTAACAGTGCTTTTTATCAAGAAATAGGTGTAAAACTATTTCATTATTATGATAAAGGTATGTTTTATATATATATATATATATATATATATATATATATATATATATATATATATATATATATATAAACATACCTTTATCATAATAATATATATAATAATATATATATATATATATATGAGCCGCGTCATGAAAAAACCAACATAGTGCGTTTGCGACCAACATGGATCCACTAGACCAGCCTGCGTGTCCGCGGAGTCTGATCAGGATCCATGATGTTCGCTATCAGTTTCTCTACTTGTAATAGAGTTGGTAAGCGAACAGCATGGATCCTGATCAGACTGCGCGGATGCGCAGGCTGGTCTGGATCCATGCTGGTCGCACACCCACTATGTTGGTTTTGTCATGACGCGGCTCATATATATCTAATTCATATATCTGTCATCCCATACTTTGTAAATGTTGAGTGGTGATCAATTGCATGTAAGCATGTTGAATTTTGCATCAAATTCTTCCTAAAAAAATAATACAAATCTTATTGATTGCAAGGATAATTGCCAGTAAATGTCTTCATGAAATGAAGTAGTGTTACAGTGTCAAATTAAAAGGTAAATCAAGACAAATTTAAGGAATATTATATTTTCTTCTAAAACAAGTTGGAATAATTTCATTTTAAAAAGAAAAAAAATTATAATTTTCATGTGTTTTTTTAAACAAATTTTTAATGTTATTGTGTTTTTATATCAGTATTGGAAAACTAATTTAGCCTGATGTTTAAAGAAGTCTACATACTTCTAAATTCTTCGATGTACATATATATGCGATGATGTCGGCAAGAAAATTGTATCCTTTCTATGTTTCTAAGTCAAATATAATACTTATGACATCAGCACATCTATGACATCATACATGTGATAAAATTGTGTATGCTTGCTACTGTGACCTTGATTAAAATACTATAAACCCTTATCTAGATAAATATCTTATATGGACTTGTCTATATTTCAATCTGGACAAAACCATTTATCATTTTACCATTTTTTAGGGAAAATATTTTAAAGCAGTCCTGACTGAATTAAATAGCAAACAGTGCAAACTATGATCAGTCTTGCACAGATGAGCCATCTTGGTCTGCACTGGTTGAATATATTCATTCACATCTAGCATGCTAAAGGCTAACATATTGCTGAATATTTAACATCAAGTTTATAAATTAAAAAATACTTTTATATGTTAAACATCATTGCTAGATACATGTAAATAAAATCTACCATTTGAAAGTGGATGTAGAATCTGTCTAATTGTTCATACAAATGTATGTTGATGTGTAAAATGCTATGTTATTTACTTTCATTTGACAATAAAGAAAATCTCATATTTTTATAAACCTTGGTTTCTTGTCAGATGTTCCATAATCTCCGTAGTGGATCAAGGACAACAAAATGTGTTAGTAAAATACTGAGAACAATAGAATATTCTTACAAGTTTTATTGACCAGATAGTTGTAATATATTGTTGGCGACACCATAGCTGTAACATTTTACTTGTGGAATAAGACCTTATGTGCCCTTTTCTGTGTTATATTTGGTACATGCACCTATGTACATGTAGTACCACTAAGCTGCTGTAAGCTAGCTGGAAAACCTTCTAATGAGAGAATCCATAGACCAGATTAAGTGATCAAAAAGCAAAACAAAAGCTATTTGAATGACAGCATGCTTGACTATTTTCAGAGCTTGATAGTAAAATGTAGAAATATTTAAGTTCAAAAAGGCCAATAATTCTGTTTTAATGTCAAAGTTATTGGCCTTGAACAGTGACATCCTATTGTGCTCATTTAAGTGTGTAAAGTTTCATTTGATTCCCTTCAGCTGTTTTGGAGATACTAACACACTAAAACTTAACCAAAGCAGTTATCGAATTTAGCACTGGCCCAGTGGCACATGGCCAATGAAAATTAGTTCGGGCCAGTGAAATTTTAAGAAAATTTAGTTAAATATATAGTATATTAAATTCAAAACTGGAATTTGGGCTAGTAAATTCATTATCTTAAATTCATTGACTGCCAAAATGTGACACAGACACATTGGTGAGTACAACTGCTCTCCCTATTCTTGGAATATTTAGAGCTAACAACAGCACAGATATCAATAGTTTCAAAGTTTTTTATTTATATATATTTTAACGAAGCATTTAAATTATGCAAACTAGATAGAAATATCACAAAATTGAAAGGAACATCAACAAAAACACAACACTTAACTAAATGCTTTAAAAGCTAACAGAATCTGACATGGCAAGATATACAAATAAATGAGTACAGTAAATATTTAGCTTTTAGAAAATCAAAAATACAGTTCTGAAAATGATAATTTTACGGCAAAATTAGAATGAGAACATACATGCATTAAATATTTATTAGGAAGACTAACTCAGAAAAGTAAATAAAAAAGAATTTTCTGTTATAATCTTCAGGTTTAACAAATCTCATAAACTGTTTAAATAAACAAAACAAAAAAATACCATTAAAGCAGTATTTGTGTATTCATGAAAATTGGAAAAGAATTATCTAATGTTGCCGATGGTACAAATTAAGTAATTTAACCTAGCCTAAGACACTCACGACATTCATTGTAAATAACTTCTCAAAATATGCAGAAAATTGGGTCACTGGTAGTAATTTTGTGATGGAAAATAGTAAAATACGTCATATCTTGCATTATACCTTTAAAGTTTCAACTAGATTGTGAATAATTCTATATAATTATATATATAATAATTACCTTTTTTGAAACTAGAAAAGTATTTTTCACAAGTTTGTTTTTTGAAGATTATCTTTTACTCATCTCACTTTAAAAAGTGACCATTCCGAGTGACAAGTCAAAACATTTTCACATGGGGTACAAACCCACTTTGATAAATTGTAAGAGATTCAAAATTCAGCAAAATCAATCACTCAGCCATGAATCCCCGCACCCGCACCCCCCCCCCCCCTGTTCATATATCAATGTAACAAATAGGAACAAAATAAAATTGACTAAAATGTACCAATAAAACTATTATTACATAAGAAGCCAATAAACTTAATAAACTTGGATACAAATATCTGACAACAATAACTGACAATGATGACTGGCAATATTGACTGACAACAATTTACATGAAGAGATCATACAAGAAAAGAACACTTGGTTATCAAAAAGCTCTCAGTCCCAAGACTTCTTGGTTATCAGCAGCAGCCTGCATTCATTATAGGCACTGCAAAATCATTATTATTCGTGGGGAATTAATTTTTCGTGGTTTTTGAGGACCGGTCAATCAACAAATTTAAAATACAGTGAAATTTCATTTTGTCTGCTGTATGAATATTTTGCATACCATTATTTACATTTTATCTTATGGAAAAATAAACAGTCTATGAATTTAAAACCCCATGAAAATGTTGTTTGTGACAAAACTACGAAATTTTTGTGACAAAACTACGAAATTTCATGCCCACAAAGTTAAGTGAATTTACAGTTAATAAGCTCTGTGGCAACATCCCTATATATAAATTATTTGTTCATAATGGTTTTAAGCTTCTTGGTTATTTAAAGCTTAACTTAACATAAGCTTACAAATCAATTCTAAAATATACATTTAGTTTAATCATACAGTGCTTTGCATAAGTTCCTGGTTATCAATTTCTAAGCCAACCATTCAATCCAATATGTAATATGCTTATAATTCATGCAAAGCATTAGAAATTTTTTAAGTTTAAAAAAAAGAGAAGAGTTATCGTTTCAAATAAACTGAACTACGCCTGGCTAGATATTAGTTTCAACACATATGCTAAATTGCTACTATACATTAACAATACCAAGTTTACTTCTCCTTGTAATTTTTCCAAGTTTCCAAAATGCTTTTTAAGGCACATTATGCCTTAGAAATTCACATTTTTTAAATTCTTAACAATGTCAAACATGTGTTAAAAACATGTAATGTTTTAATAGCGAATATAGAGTATGTTAGATGTTAAACAACTAAGTAAAGTAGTGTTAGATGTTCAGTAAAATGTCATTAACTTTGCAAAATTTTAACAAAGTAGTAGACAGTTTAAACTTCCATACAAAATGCTAATTCACTTTAATTATACCATGTGCCAACAGAGCAAAATATAGTTAATCTATATGGCAAATGAGAGGATTTTTTTGGAAACTGTATTTTTTCCTCTTTTTTTTTGAAACTGTAACAAGATACCAAAAATTAAAAAGTTTTTGAGAATTAAAAACTGAGGCATATTGGGCCTTTAAGTTATCTCTATAAGAAACACATTTTAAATAATCCACATTTAACATTTTTGGGTGTATGTGAACTTTTAATTCATGACAAAAAATCCTCCCTGATCATAATATTTTCTTCTCTTTTTTTTCATTTCAACGTCTATGGGACAACAGATCATGAAAACATGAAAATTACAATGACACATAATCTTAAAAATCTTCATTACTAAAATGTAAGGGATGTCTTTCATCTTAATTCATGATATATATGATATTTTCATCAAAGAAAGTTAGGCTTAAGTAACAGTATTTGGCAACAGTGGAGAATAATGAACCTGATTACACAAAAAATAATTGAGCCGCATCACGACAAAACCAACATAGTGCGTTTGCGACAAGCATGGATCCAGACCAGCCTGCGCATCCACGCAGTCTGATCAGGATCCTTGCTGTTCGCTGTCAGTTTCTCCACTTGTAATAGAGTTGGTAAGCGAACAGCATGGATCCTGATCAGACTGCGCGGATGCGTAGGCTGGTCTGGATCCATGCTGGTCGCAAACCCACTATGTTGGTTTTGTCGTGACGCGGCTCAAATCAAGTTGTAATGAAAAATTAAAGTGACATTATGCCCATCCAAGTGTAAATGATAATAATACTGGCAGAAGTCACATACATTCTGCCTTGTTTTCAATTTCATCTTCTACCTCGCAAAATAACTCAAGTGACCCATGAAAATTTCTGCGACTAACCTTCCTAGTTTCTAGTAGCCTTCACCTGATAATAACCTTGGGGCAG